AACTGACCAGAGGGCAGTTGCCTGGCCGGGGGCCCCATGACCATGTCACAGTGCCCCCTGTCAATCTATTGCTCCCGTGAGGGGGCGGGCGCTGGGCAGAGTTGGGAAAATAGATATTGATGTGATTGCATATAAATATTTAATCCATATATAATAGTGATTAGGTCGTGCATTTTGGAATGAATTGTGGCAAAAACTTTCATTGGGTAATGGCATCGGGTCATCGGCCATCGGGAGCTCATCAGGAGCTGAGCTACATTTTGCAAAAGGATGCAAGATATTAATTTTACAACAGATTAGCCTGAGTAGGGTTTCAAGGTGCCAGGGCTATATATGCCAGTTATCACTCTCTCTTAAATCACCTGTGAGAATTGTGCTAAAGCGAGGTACATTGGTGACATCAGATCGCATATGGATATATTTTCGTGATCGATTATTGTGATGAACTTTACTAACTGGAATGCAAATTTAAACTCACTAGATATTCTTAACCAGATTTTTGTCTCTTGTAGTGATAGTGAGACATTTTAACATTATCATAGGTTAGATTAGGCTAGGTGTTGTCGGGTTAGAGGAGGTCAGGGTAAGTAAGGGTTGGTTAGGAAAGGTTAGGATGGGTTATGTTACGTTAAATTAGGTTAAGTTTGGCTAATTTATATTAGAAAAGGTTAAGTTGGGATGAACTAGGTCAGATTTGTATAGACTATTATATGTTAGATTATTTTGAGTTTATTTACGTTAGATTATGTTAGACTAGGTCAAATTATGTTAGATCATGTTCTGATAGGTTAGTTAAGGTTAGATTAGGTTAGGTAAAGTTAGGTCAAGTTAGATCAGGTTAGGTAAGGGTAGGTTAGATTAAGTTAGGTTAGGTTAGATCAGGTTAGGTAAGGGTAGGTTAGGTAAAGTTAGGTTAGATCAGGTTAGGTTAGGGAAAGTTCATTTAGGTTAGATCAATTCAGGTAAAGTTAGGTTATGTTTAGTAATGTTATAATAGGTTAGGTTATGTTAGGTTAGAATCAGTTAGAATAGGTTAGGTTATGTAGGATTTAGTTAAGATTGCTTAGATTGGATAGGATATTTTAGGGTAGGTTAGCTTAGGTTAGGTTACGTTAGTTGAAGTTGGTTAGGGGACGTTAGGTAAAGTTAGGTTGGGTCAAGTCTGGTAAGTTTGGGTTATGTTACGTGAGGTTATGTGATATTATGTTGTGTTGTATTATGATGTGTAATGTTGTTACATATTATGTTATGATATGTTATTAAATGTTGCAATATGAAAAATTATGTAAGGTATTGTGTGAGTTGGGCAAATCATTAGGAGAAAGTAATACTAATGTGTTTTGAGAATACATGGCGTGTGTTTGTTAGATGTTTAATTTTTTTATTTCTGGTGTTTTTTCATGGAAGTGTAGCTATGAGTGACGAGTGGTGAGAGAGATGTGCACGGGCACATCTCTCATTTAGTATATATTTGTGTATTGTTTAAAGTAAATTTGATTGTTGTGTGTTTGTTAATAGTATTGGATATTTTGTATATGTGTATGTTTTAGTATAGTTGGATGTTGCAGATAATAATTGTAAATGATAGGGGGTGTGTTCGGTTATCTGGTTACGCAATCGGTGGGTGAGACCGTGAGGTAACTGCATTAACTGCAGATAAAGCTCCCAAACTTGGAGATGATAATTGAGTGAAAACTTTTTGTGTTATATTGTGAGCCTTCTAAAGTTTTAATAATGAAGAAATCACAAGGTTCACAGAATCTAAAGGTTTGAATGCTAAATTTTTGAGTATGGTACTCTATTCTAATCAGTCAACTGAGTCAAGTGTCATCATGTCATGTTGTGCATTGCCTTTTCTTTGAGAAGTTTCTTTGATTGCTGATGACTTTATCCTCAATTTGAAAGCTGATGTAAAGAATAAGTGTAATAAATGTCTTTTATATTTAATCTGGAACCATAATGTTATGAGTAAATAGTATTTCTTTCTGTAGATCCATCTTGCTTATCTGTGAGTGATGTGCACAATTAACAATTTTGGGACCTTCACTGTGTTGCGCTGTTTCCTGATGTAACGTTCATGCCGATTGCCAAGGCTGATTTCTGACAGTCTACAAACCTGTTTCTAGTTGCCTAGAACATTTTTTTAAGGCAGAATGCTTTTTTTAAGTGAACCACTAATTTTAAAATTCCACCCTGCCCTCTAGGGCCTCAACTCTCAAGTTCATTTATGAGTCCTATTAGTAGACCTGTAAAGTATCATGTATACCACATACCATACCACATGCCACTCAGCATGGGAGGTTGTCTGGTTGTCTGCTCCTCTAATTTAAGAGTGATGTTCCCAAAACCCCAAATTACCAAGGTAATTTAAAATGAATATCAAATTGCACCATGCTTTGAAGTTGGAACCATGCATGTAGTCTGTAGATGTAGAAGATGTACAACTATACGAGTGAATTGCCAAGAAGGATTGCTTGCTGTCCAGCTATTAAATGATAATGAAGAAGATATTGCTTATCTTTTGCAGCTGCCTTAGCTTGGCCCTTGGTCAGTTATGTGCACTTGACCTAATCAGCCTTAAACCAGGGAAGATATATGGTAATGATATTGTTATGGAGTTATCACTCCTGTTGATATTGGGGCTGAGTGTCTGCTGATGTTGTCGCCTAATGAATAGTCCATTTCAGGGATTTTGAAATATGAATCAAATTACAATACTTACCTCAACTCAGCCTTCCTTCTTGCAGCTTGTGAACCAAAAGCTTTTGCTCCACCTGTTACATTCCTTTTCTCTTCCAGCCTAGTGGGTTGCTTGACAGATTTGTTTTCCATTCCTTTACACAATGAATCTCCTTCCAAAATTTGCTTTTTGATAAACCATGCAATTCAAATTATTTTGGTGTTACTCATACTGCCACTTTAAGGCTGGTAGTCAGAATGCAGTGAAGTCTGAGAGCAAAGTTTTTGCAACCATCCTGTGAAATTCGTGATCTGCCCAAAGCGCGGCCAATCGCTACCCTTGAGCTTGTACTCTTTGTAATATGATATCCTAGCCAGTCCCTTTCTTGCAACAACTGATGGCTGAGGAATGGCCAACGGTTGGCTATAACTAATTGAACTAGGCTGACCACTGGCCACGTATTAGTCCTCGCCCCTCATTGAGTTTGCCTTCACCATGCCGCCCATTGTGAACTTGACAGTTCAGTAATTTATAACATCTCTTTCCCCCTCATACCTTCCACAACGCCTACATTTGAGCAGTTGGTATTTGGGATTTTCCCTCCGCGTATCAGTATGCTTGATCATAACTATTTTTTGGTAGATAATATCTGCAACAACTAGACTGACCAAGAAATGCTGAATATACCATTCAAAGAATAAAAATTTCAACCCATTTTTACAACACTTTTCTTTAACTTCACTTCTTGTTGTTTGTTTGTTTGTCTGCTACAAATCTTATAATCGATATTTAACTCACTTCTACCTGTCCAATCGATCTGAAATTTTGCACACTTGCATAAAGTTGGAGACAATGCATGAATCATATGACAAAATGAATAATTAATAAAAATTTCTATTATTAAAAAAATTAGAAAATGTAACTTTTTAATATTTAAAAATAAAATCTGAAATTCATTTTACATGTGCAACATCAGAGACACTGGCCTCTTTAGAAGTGTTGTAATTAAAAAGTAATTTTTAAACGTATATTATTATCTTGAAAAAAGTGTAAAAGTCGCAGACTTGATGAACAATAATATTAAAAGTTTCTTGACATGTCCTTTTATTTCATGTTCCTGGTCACCATTTATAAATAAATAGGTGGATTGGCATGGAAAAATCCATATCACCATCTCATTTATGAGTAGAGTAAAGTCCAGCCTAATTTGTGAAGAAACACATTGGGAAAAGCCAAACCTGTTTGAAGCCTTGCGGTTCTCAATCAGAGCCTTAATAAATAGAATTACTCCAAACTCATCTGCTGCTAATTTGGAAACAATTGAGAGGGCTCCTAATATATCCATGCCATGCCCCAGTCCCAATATGGTTCTCTCTAATGATGAAAACTCGACTCAACAAAATGCCCTAAGCCAATTACTACTGAGGAGCCTGCACGTTATTAACTCCCACAAAACAAGAGGCATGAATACTGCAGGATCTAGCCACACTAAGATGCCTACAAATATGCTCAAGTGCAAAGAGTATTAGCCCCCACAACACAAGAGGTGCGCTCGTTATAGATATGAGCCGCATCAGAGCGCTGCCACCTGCCAGCAGCTGGGACTAACCAAGAACACTGCCTGTGCTGTATTTAGTCTGTCAATGGTATCTTGTGCTTACACCAGCTATAAGCAATTGCCCTCTGAGTTAGTTAGGCTTGTGAGATTTGTCCACAACTAGGTAAGGCAGAGTCTTAGTAGCACAGATCAGGCTCTCTAAATTTGACTTGAAAACTTTGGACTCCATGTTGCCACTACTAAGCACATGCAAAATAAAACAAACAAAAAAAATTAAAAAAAAACACATTTTCTTAACGGACAAAAGAGAAAAACATTTACTCTTACATAACATTCCAGTTATGTAAAATGTTATATAATGTTATGTAAGAGTAAATGTTTTTCTTTTTTGTCCATTAAGAAAAGGTGATTTTTAAAATTTTTTGTATTTGTTTTATTTTACTAATTTTAGTTTTGTAAAAACCAGAATAACCTGGTTTTTGAAAATATTCTTATATTTATTTATTTTCTACTTTTAAGTTAGCAATTTTAGCAATTCAAATCAATTTCCAGGGTTGGCAAGTGTGGATGTTTGAGAAAAAACTCAACTCCAAACCGTGAATTTGTGTTTTTTTCTTTTTATATTAAAAAATTTTTTTTTAATTACTGTTTCTGATGATCAAATCTTGAATTGTTAGGCAGCATAAACATGCATGCCAAATTTCAACTTACTAGGATGTTTTGAAGTGCTCTAAATTAAGGTTTGAATTTTTGATGACAGACACACGAAATGAAGTCAAGAAAAATGTGGTAATAATAAACAGTGATTTTTGAGGGATGCCTCAATCATAATATTCTCGTAACAGGACATTGATTAGTGCAACAAAATGGACTAGCATTGTAATTCATGTTTCACAATTTTATGACTGGCTTCAGTGGCTTGCCTCATTCAATTTTTGATGCTAACTTTTCTATAGTTAAGTTCTCAATCTCTTGTTCATCATTCTCTACTCTATTTTTAACGTGGATATTTTAAAGGAGTTGAAAGTTAATTTCTATACATATAGTCTGGTTGCCCCCTAGTCAACTGGACATGAGCAAAAAATGTGGCTTGATGTGGAAGCTATTTCAATATCATAGCTGAAATGCTCAAGAAAACATATATTGATGAAAATGAAGATGTGTAGTATTTATATATAGATGAGTATGGACTTAGTTAAACCCGACTTGAGCATTCTTCTGTACCTGCCTAATTTGATAGGTGAGTGTTAAGTTAAATAAACAGTACTATCAACTTTTGTATAAATATTGCAGTAAATGCCATATCTCGCCTTAATTTTGTTCGCATCAAACTAAAATTGTATACTTTTATTCATTATATTTATATTTGTTTTCTTTAATTGATATAATTTAGGAAGGAAATTACATTTCAATTCTTATATCTCTTGTTATTGCTGAAAAACATTCTTAAGCAAAAGCATTGATGTATAGCATTCAAATTCTAAAAATATTTGTGAACTTTTTGTTTTATTATCTAATTTTAGAATTCTAATCTCTATTAAAAAAGTCACTAGATTGCTTTAATCGCAGATTCACTAGAAATTTAAAAGCAAAGAAAACACCCCAAAAATTTAGCATATCTCTTTTGAAAACGTTTTGGAGACCAGCTCCATCGTCAGTTCGATAAATCTAGAACACAGATAAATGCAGAAATTTAGTTTGGAGTTAATAAAAAAACACAGAAGTTAAAAAACATAAATTTACAGACAAAGGGCAGAATAATAAAGTAAGTACCTATCTATTCACAATTTCTAATGGATAAGAACTATAGGCAGCATTATAAAGTAAGTACCTATCTATTCACAATTTCTAATGGATAAGAACTATAGGCAGCATTTAAACTAGGCTTCTCTTTACAAATATACAATGATTCCAAAATATGCAGAGCAGAAGCACCAGAACTATAAGCTAAAACCTTAAAGTCTGTGTCGGACACTGGAATGCTGCACTGTTTGGCATGAGTGCGCACAGCCGAATGAGGAGGGCGCGATAGTAACTGCCCAGTCATATAACTCCTCCCTCTATGCTCAGCGACCCTTGTGTAAAAGTTGCGTGCCAGTCACAAGGGTCACTGAGCATAGAGGGAGGAGTTATAGGACTGGGCTGTTACTATTGCGCCCTCCTCATTCGGCTGTGTGCACTCACGCCGAACAGTGCAGCGTTCCAGTGTCCGACACAGACTTCAAGGTTTTAGCTTATAGTTCTGGTGCTTCCAATCTGCGTATTTTGGAATCATTGTATATTTTTAAAGAGAAGCCTAGTTTAAATGCTGCCTATGGTTCTTATCCATTAGAAATTGTGAATAGATAGGTACCTACTTTATTATTCTGCCCTTTGTCTGTAAATTTAGGTTTTTTAACGTCTGTGTTTTTTTATTAACTCCAAACTAAATTTCTGCATTTATCTGTGTTCTAGATTTATCAAACTGACGATGGAGCTGGTCTCCAAAATATTTTCAAAAGAGATATGCTAAATTTTTGTGGTGTTTTCTTCGCTTTTAAATTTCTAGCTAATCTCTATTGTTATACTCTGATCTATACTTCAGAATTTAAGATTAGATTAAATAAATTTCAATGAATAATCCACTTCAATTTCCTTCGTAATTCTTTCTTATTAATTTAAATAAGGTTTTTATTATGATGAATTTTGCCTAATCATGCCAAATTAGTTTGTATTCAAATGATTAGCCAAGTTTTTCCAATAATCAGCCACGCAATGGGAACCATATTCTCCTAAGTGTTGAAAGGATTTTTTGCCAGGATATGTTCGTCTTGTGTGTGTGGTTGCTGCATTCTGGCTGCTGACATTGGGGCATAATGGATGCTTTGTCATCTTTTATGCTGTGTCTATCATACTAGATGGAATTGATGGCTGGGTCGCTCGTAAACTGCAACAATGTTCACAATTTGGGGCCTGGGTAAGTCAATAGACAATTTAAAAGTGGTTTGTCATTATAATATGATTTAATAATTTAAATCATTACCTATGATTTTTTTATTCAAAATTGATTTCTTTAAGGGGACCAGCTACCCTAAATTTTCAATTTTGGCGTTTTCTGGTTTATGTGCTCATCTTAAAGCTTACTTTCTGATGCATCAAACGGTACCAGAATCATCTATCTACATCGAAAAATGATTTCGTGACAGCTCTCCAAAGGGGGGCGGTTTTGAGGGCCCTTCAGTAAAGTCTATGGGATTAATTTGACGGCTGGACACACTAAAAAGGAACGTCTGGCGTAAAGCTGCCAATTATGGCATTATCCGGTGCTTATACTCATCTTAAAGCTTACTTTCTGAGGCGTCAAACGGTACTAGAATCATCTTCCTACATGCATTTTTACGTACACAATACGCGTACACGGAGGGACTATAAATACAGCCTGCTGTTGCCAAGCAGTCAGCCACTCATGACAGCGAGGTGAGAGGTGTGCAGCCAGTTGCTCTATGCCTTCCTGACTTGGTTTGAGGCTTAGTTATGGTATCTAGGCTACGTTACGACTATTTTACGTCTATTTACTTGCCGCACAGGCATTTTTTTTGGGCGTGGTAAAAACCTCCTATTGCTCTCACGGCAAACCTATCTCCTCCTACAGTTTTCAAGCTACAGCAATGAGACATATACCATTCGATTTGTAAAGACCATACCTATCGACTCTGTGATCATTTTTTTGAATTTGTGTATGGTTTGTCTTATATATGGGGGAGAAGGGGGGGGGAGGGGGGGAAAAATGAAAAAAAAGAGAAAAATGGGAAAACGCACATAAAAAAAAACTATGGGGAAAATGAGAAAAATGATCACCAAATCGATAGGTATGGTCTTTACGAATCGAATGATACGTGTCGATGTTGTAGGATGATATTTGTAGGAGATAGATTTTCTGGGGGGGGGGGGGCAGGGGGGAAAAATGAAAAGAAGAGAAAAATGAGAAAATGCACATAAAAAAAACTATGGGGAAAATGAGAAAAATGATCACCAAATCGATAGGTATGGTCTTAACGAATCAAATGATACGTGTCAATGTTGTAGGATGATATTTGTAGGAGATAGATTTTCTAAAGTACCCCCTTTTTTAGCCGTTTACTATGAATTTCACGTTTTCTATCAATTTTTTCAAAAAATTTAAATGAGCAAAATGTTATTGTTTTTACATTTTACGTATGTATGTGAAATTTCATGATGATCGGATAATAACTAGAAGTTTTTCCGGAAGGTAGCCGGTCCCCTTAAGAAACCTAGAAGCTTCTATATTTGTGTTGAGTTGAAAGTATGAAATGGGTGTTTTCAACATGACTATTGCGAGCAGTGAATATTTTAAATTTTGATATTGATTGAAAGATAGCCATAAGATGTGGATCATATCATTTATATTACTTCTTGTGCAAAATATTATATATAGCTGCATGCATAAATTTTGAATTGTAAGACCTGTTTGCAGCTGGATGTTGTGATTGACAATACAAGCCGAGCACTCCTGTGGGCCCACATACACCCAGTGAGTTTGAATGCAGTTCACTTTTCATAGTTTTATTGCCTGCTCCATATTTTGTAATTTGAGCCAAACACCAATGAATAACTTTGATTACCTTGTTTTAAGTCACAAAATTCAATCTTTGTGTTTCATAACGTGAAATTCTAAAAAATTGTACTTCCAACAGTTTGACATATTAAATACAATTATATACCTATATTATGGAATTAGAATGATCTGTCCTGCTTATATACATGCATATATATCTTTACCTTGGCTTAAGCTACATAGTTTATTGTTCTTTTTGAACATGAAAATAATGACATAGAGTAAACTTTGTTTGCCTGCCAGATGGGCACCTTAGTGTCAGCACTAGAGTGGACTGTGTTTGTGTGTAATCATCAGCTGGGGGAAAATTGGCGCACTCACCTGTCATCTGATGTCTATGGTGTGTTCTTCTAATTCCAATACCTATGTATGTATACTTATATTCATAGGTTAGATCTGCTGTACATGCTCTTTATCTGGGACTGTCTCAAATAAACATAGGTTGTTGCACTTTACCAGTAATGATGAATTAATAGAATTTCCATTTTATTTTACGGCAGTGTTTCATCCCTCAAAACTGCATTTGTATGTATTTAGTCTCTGAATTTTATTTATGATATTTAGAAGCATCAACTATCCTTTTTATCTTAGTTCTAACATTAAAATTATATGGCTTTGTCTCGATTCCTCAGGTAGTCTCTCATCAATCAGCCTTGGTGAGTCAACATTTTCAGTACACTCTAACCTCATTGGCACAAAAAGAAGTGGCAAGAAAAGCCCTGTTGGGTCAACTGCTAATTCTGTGCTTAGGAAGCAAGCTGACATCTGCCAACCTCCTCAATTGGTTCAATGGATTTTGAAAAATGGTTAGTTTTTTCTAGATGATACATTGTTTTTGCCTTGAAGTTATTCTATACAAAATGCTTTTTTTGAATAGAAATGAGCATTAAAAAAATGTTATGAATTTCATCCATTGCTTCAGCTGCCATCTCAGTGTGTTTTACAAGTGTGTTTTGCTATATTCTATCAGTCTGCATTGTGAGAGATTTTCTTATAAACTAATAAATATAAATGCCCTCTTTTAAAAATGATGACATTAAAAGAAAACCAGCAAGCCATTAAATCCAAAAGCCTTCTTTTTGTATGCTAGTTCAAAGTGTAAAACAAATGATGGTATTTCTGATTTGAAAGAATACTAACAAAAGATATCCTCTGATGAGGGCCAGGCTAACATTCTTAATGAGTTCTTTAGCAGTGTGTTCACAGATAAGGATTGAACAGCATTCCAGCTATTGAGAAGTGCCCAGTAGGCTCAAAGTCAACATGTTTTGAAGTAACAGAGAAGAGGTTCTCAAGGGCCTGGTTGCTCTGAATCCCAACAAGCCATGTGGACCATACAGCTTCCACCTTAGATTGCTCTAAGAATTAGCAACCATCCTGGCTGGCCCTTTCAAAGTGTCTTTTTGGAAAATCTTGGATGAAGGAAATTAGCTGGTTGATTGGAAATAAGCTCAAGTGAAACCAGTGTTCAAAAATGGTGACTAGAGTAGTTCCGGTAACTATCACCCTATCAATCTTATAAGTGTTGTTTGAAAGGTAATGGAATCTGTTGTAAAGGATAGCATTGTCAATCACTTAATTGTTCACCATCTCCAAGCAGTCTTGTCAGCATGGCTTTATTGCCAGTAGATTCTGCACCTCTAACCTCTTGTCTACATTGACCGTTGCATTGTACCTCAATTTTGCCAAACCATTTGAAAGTGTTATGCGTGAGTGGCTGTTGTGTTGTAGCGGTTCAATCAACTGGGTTTCCACAAAACCTATGTGGATATGAGCCTCCTCACCCCAAGAGACTATCCCACTCAAGATGGTTAGACTGAGTTTGGGACAGTGAAAAATAGGTGAATACAAACACCAATATACTTAAGACTAAGAACCTAAACAATGACAGTAAAGGATCATTCTCATGCAGCAAAGCATATTTTTTTAAAGATAATCTAAGCCACCCTAGGGGAGAAAGCCCTTGTAACGAATTTACGGTACGCAAATTCGAGATTACTATTACAACATTGGGAAGCTGTTACACCACCTGAAAATTTGAAAAACACATCTTAGCCTACCACATACGGATCAATAATAATAGTCAGGTAAGCAGCATAACATGGGCTTGCTAGACATGGGCAAAGGGAAATATCTGGTTAAGCAAAACAGTGAGTATTGGCTTGATTTCTGGAGAATAGAGCGGTATGCCTGCAGGATACTTTACCAGGTCCCAGGATCACTCCTGGAGCACAGCTAGAAGACAAGTTAGTTTGATCACTTCTGGCCAACTTTGCAGTCATACACAGGCACACACATCTGAGTACTCACCAATCTAGTAGCAGGGATACCAAGATGTCACTGACTGCAGAAGATTCCAGAAGGTGCACCGCCCAGAGAACCAGAAACCTTGAGTACTAGGAAACAGCAGGATGCTCACTATGCTTTGCAGTGAACAAGAAAAAAGATACTGGGAATGGCACAGTGTTGCCGGCGCTATGGAATGCTTATGTCGGGTTCTTTAGTCTCTGGCAACAATTTAGGTGAATGAAAGTTTTCTTCTTGCTATGGATGTATTGTTAAAGCACGGGGCAGTGATTACAGATGCAGTTGCGAATGGAATGAAATGTAACCAGACATTGGGAGCATGAGCAAGGTATTTCAGCTGCAAGAGATAAAACATATAATCAATAAAAGTAAAATCAATAAAAGAACCTCACTCACAGCAGTTATCAAAACCAAAAACCCTTAGCATTGACATAACAATCAAGCAGCAAGCGGTAGTTAAACTTAGTTTGAATAAATTGATAATATGAGCACGCATGAGTAATACGAGAGAACACACAAGAGATTAAAGTGAACCAAGGTAAACAGGCACTATTGCAATTGTGGTAATAACTACAACTTATTGGGTGAAACTAGAGATGCAAAAAAAAAAACGTTTTTTTTCCAGAGTGTTTTTTGTAGTAAAAAAAACGTTTTTTATGTGTTTTTTTTTGTTTTTTATTGTTTTTTTTTCTTTCGTGTATTTATTTGGGATCAATATATCTATACCCTTAATATACATTGAAATGATGTGTTTTTAGCCCTCAGGTAAAGTGATTATGGATTTATTTGCATTTATTTATGTTTTTCTAAAAAAAAACAATAAAAAACATGTTTTTTTAGGCTGATGTTTTTTATTAAAAAAATTTTTTTTTATTAAAAAAAACATGAGTGTTTTTTTTACGTCGCATCTCTAGGTGAAACACATTCGTAAATTGAAAACAGTTTGGTATTCTCATAATAAAATAGCAAGTATTGAAATTAGAAGATTGAAATAGCAAAGCAATTAAAGTAAAATCATGTTAACAACTCATTATTGTGCCATTAACATTCTTTAGATTAAAAGCAAGCATTGCCAGAAGTGGATAAATGTATGTGCAAAGTATAAACATAAGCATGAATAAAGTAAATCAATTATTAAGCTAAATGGTGTGAGCACAAGCAAACATGATAACACTTATACTACTCCTAGTCAGAACCCCTCCAGGTATAGCTCAATCTAGAACGTCAGGAATGGCAAGGTTCATTGAGGCATGAATAAACAGCTGGCACAACCTGGACAGCCTAGCAACTAATACCACCTAATATTAATGTAACTAAACTATTCTAATCACATGGACATTATCTAGTCTAAGTAAGGCTCTGGACTAGTGAAGTCAGGTTATTTCAGGCACCAAATCAAGTCATGGTCCTAACCAATGCAGTCAACAAGAGGCATAGGCTACTAACACTATGCAATTATCTACCCTAATTAGGAGACCATGAAAAGAGCACAGAAATGGCTAATGAGTTGGCTTGGTAAGATTGGTCAGTTATGTAGTCAATTAGAGTTACATCCAATTTGGTGCAATATATGAGCATGAGCACTGCGCTCTTCAAGGAGTTCAGATTAGTGAAGACATGGTACTCAGGAGAGGAAGGTCAAGAGCTTGCAGTCAGGGACTCCAGGTCTCCACAACAGCATGCCAGCTGGGTCCCAAACCGACTGCTATCAAATTATAAAATACAAAACTTGAGTAAGTTGAGTCTATTGCCTTTTATGGCAAATAAAGAGGACTCATACTTCAGGTGAATAAAGTTAAGATTAAATTTAGCAAGCGGGTATAAAGCATCAGCAAAAGCAGGACACTTACTCAGTACAGTATAGCAAGAGGGAACACAAAGCATAACACAAGACTTAATGCTGTAATGCAAATGTCACAATGTAAACACTCAAAAGCAAACACTCAATAACTGTAATAGCAACCAAAGATTTACCAAGATCACAAGCCAAATTGTGTGCATTTTAGTTTAAAGCATGATAATGGGTAGGACAGGAAATTAATGCATCATATTACCAGTTCACTGCAACTCACCCTTAAGGAGTGTTGAAGTGGCTTAGGAAACAGGAGTATGGGAAAGAACCAGAGTATAGGCAGTTTGGCAAGCAGGATTAGATTAACAATCACTTCACGGTAAATTGAAATTCAGGCAATGGATGCAGACATTGATAGACAATCAGGTGCAGATAGGCATAAGTTCAAGCATGACCATGCTGGTGCATGTTAAAGGTACACTCTTTTTCACTGGCAATACCAGACATGTGTATTGGTAATCCCAATAACAAAGGTATATGTCTGTAACAAACACAGAAGAAACACATACATTATTGGTTACCAAATAAAATTTAAACCACTCCTTCTAAGGGAGAAAACCAGATGATATTAGGAGGCATGGCCTAGAAGTAAGACAATACACTATGATACAATACAGCTAATGTTCTGCGGCCCTCTTCAGCATAAAGTGAAGTCCTTGGGAATAGAGGGAGATGTACTTCAATGGAGTACATCTCCAAATGATTATGATGCTTCCAAGCCTCTGTTGTCAATGTCTGCATGGTGACCTCTTTGAAGTATACAAGTATATTCATGATTAATACAAGGTCCCAGAAAGATTACTAGAATTTGAAACAAGAATTAACACCAGAGGCCATGACTATAAACTAAAAAAACTGCGTTGCAGCTCATCCACACTCAATGTTTTTTCTTGCTTTGAGTCACCGACATGTGGCATCCTAACAGATTACAGTGTTGGCGCTCCAAGTATAAATGTGTTCAAGAACACACTAGATAAAGCTATGAAGAAATATATGTTCAGACTTCAAATGCTTAGCACCCTATCAAACCTGGTGCAAGTCTAGTAGCTATTTCAAACTATTGTCTGTCTTGAAAAGATATGGTCATAGGACTTTTTTTTATATCTCCTGTGAACAAGTCATGAAAAATACATAGATCGGCAACAGGCCACATCAGGCCTATTCTTCAGCACTGACATCATTATGATATTATATAATAAGCTGTTAAAAAATACAATTGTAAAAATGGACATAACCTAAACTAAGGTGTGTAATATTCTGATTTTCTCTTTGAAAATAGAAAATGTTTGAAAATGACAATTAGGTTTTGTAGATCCCAAGTTATTGGACGTTCTCAAGTGATTTTTGTATCAAATGATGAGACCCTCTCATAAAATAAATGTTCTTAACACGTTGACTACAAAGTGGTACATATGCGTAATACAAAATGTATTTCTCCAGGACGTAGTGGTACATAATTCAGGTTGCCTAAAATTGGCCAAATCTGAGAACAAAAAGGGCCAAAAAAGGCCAATAACTCAAAATATACTAGTTTATTTGTAGGTTCCAGTATAAAAATTCCATTCATTTTCTTTTTGCAGTATTTAAAATTTAATTAGGAAGTACCCCTATCATAAATTTTAGCCAGCCAACGCAATTGAGAGAAACTAAATCACGGAATTTGTCCAGAAAAAATGACCGCCTGGCAACCCTGTTGAAAAACGGTACAAAAAAATGAAATAATAGTACAAGATGAAGCAATTGTAGTCGATGTGTTAAGCTAAATAGAAGGTTCAATAAACAGTTTTCAAACATTTTACACAACCTGTGGCACAGCCATAATTTCTTGGATGATCTCCTAATTTTTGCCCTGCAAATAATTTATGCAAGGACTTAATTTTTACACTCAAAATGGTACTTAACAGGGTTGGCGATTTTTTTTATTTTTTTTTTTAAATCAAAAATCAAAATTTTTTTTTATTTTTTCATGATTTATTTGATTTTTTTATTTTTTCAGTTTTTTTGTCTTTTTGAGGTGTTATTTTTTATGTTGCAATTAGCCTACTAACAATAACAGTATATGAACCATAATGGATGGCTAAAAAGGGCTCTTATTGCCTTCAATAATGGCCAACAGGCCAAGGTGATGTTTACCACTTAGGGATTTTTGGGTAAACAATTATTGATAAGTCTATTCATTACGTAGCTTTGTAAAGTTTGTATGGAGCAAGGCAATGAGCTAAATATTGACCATTTAACTGGCTTCAATATACAAAAACACTTCGGGAATGCAGATCTCCTAAACATTGAAGAGTCACATAACAGATAGGTAGCTGATAGTACAGTGCACAGCACTAGGTATCAATAGATCTACTAGTTTTATGTCCTATAAATCTACCAGACTCTACCTTCTATACACACCGACTAGTAGTGACTGAGTGACTGCACTGTTCCCATTTAATTCAGACCAATAAACCAATGCTAAACATAAACTGAACGATAACCAAACAAACCTCATACGACTTGCAACAAGACTTAAGTTATGAGAAAAGCTAACACTGTTTGAAATAAACATGTCCACAATTCAAATATTTTATATCCATTCACTGCATTTAATTATTTTATATATAGTCTTGTAATTGTAATTGTTTCGTTTCTACTTTTAAATTCACATATTTAAAAATTGAATTTAAATATTTTAATTAGAATACGTACTCGTATTAGGGTGGAAAATCTTTCTAATTGCGTAAAAGGTCAATACAATCTCAACCTCTCAATATACAGGGTGCAGCAGAACCGATTGAGCAGCTTTGAGGTAAAATAAGAGTAATGGAGGTACATAAAGAAGAAAGTTTATTTTCCTAGAGGTTAGCATAACATACCATTTAGAATACTTATGTTTTGAAAACAATATCTGGAAGATGGGGGCTGTTAGCTGCAACACACTGTTGGAGTCGTTCTCAGAGGAGGGAGTAACCATAACAGTGAATTCCGATCGCTATGCTGCAATATTGCAAAATTTCTTGCAGCCCAGGATGGAAAACATTGTTGAAAATGAAGCATTGGGAGACGTGTGGTTCCAGCAGGATGGGGCTACAGCTCACCCAGCCCGAATATCACTCAATGTTTTGAACACATGTTTCCCGGATATCTGGTGTCGATGAGGGGTGATTTACAGTGGCCTGTGAGGTCACCTGATTTGAGCATTTGCGATTTCTTTCTTTGGGGACTTCTAAAAGAAAGGGTGTTCAGAAGTCACCCTCACACCCTACCACAGCTAAGGGAACGGATTATTGCAGCAGAGGTTGTGGCCATACCTTGCCATATGTGTGAACGTGCTGTAGAAAACTTCCGAGAACAACTCCAACAGTGTGATGCAGCTAACAAACCCCATCTTCCTGATATTGTTTTTAAAACATAGGTATTTTAAATGGTATGTTATGCTAATCATGAGGAAAATAAACTTTCTTCTTTATGTACCTCCATTACTCTTTTATTTTGCCTCAAAGTCAAAACTGTTCAATCAGTTCTGTCCCACCCTGTATAAGCTAGCTAACACATTTAAATTGTATATTGTAATCAATATATAACAAATAGTCAAATAGTTAGACTACTTATAGCCTTATAAGAATTAGCTAAGCTGCTAGCTACGTACAATGTATTGCACACTTGATGCCTCTGTACCAAAAACATTCCATTTGTTGGAACCTAATACACCCTAAAGGCAGCAAGTTTATATACAAATTTGTCATTTACATTTGTCATTTTACATTTATACTAAACCATGAATAACAATACCTCAATATAAATTAAAGACTGCCACTCAATATTTTTAAATATATGAAAAAAATCAAAAAAAATAAAAAAAAATCATGATTTTTTTATAAAAAAATCAAGTGATTTAATCATTTTGATTTAATCATTGCCAACCCTGGTACTTAATGTAAAGACTCTTATTTTTCACGCTCCAAATACGTTATGTTAGCTTATTTATATATCACGCTGCAAATACATTATGTTAGCTTTTTATTTTTCACCCTGCAAATACATTATGTTAACTCTTTTATTTTTTAACCTTCAATCACTTTATGCAGACTTCAGGTCGCCAGGAGGCGTGTGGGCAGTGGCGGGGCTACACGTCCTCCCTCTATGGCTGGCTGGGCTGAAATACAAGGTGTTCCAGACAAGCCTGTACTTCCTCCCAGACTTAGTGCCTTTTTGGGGTAAGTTCTGGACTGAAAAACTTTTGTCTTATTTTAATTTCTTTAAATCTGTCAAAGAAACCTTAAAAATAATATGCAACGTAATGAGAATTTGTAACCTTATTTAATTGATTAATATATAGGTAATGATTTTTGAATACAGTTGAAATTATGCCATAAGTCAAATTTGAGTGGCCATTATTTTTCTTTCAACAGAATAATAATTCAAAATCTTATAAAGTGTTATATCATGCTAGTGGATACTGCACGCCATAAATACCACAATGGATTATGTGAATTTGTCCTGAGAAGTAAAAAAAAAATCATCAGAAAAGCATGACCAAGGCTATTTTGACATCTCAATAATAGACTGCCCACTTTATTATTGTTATTATTATTATTATTCTATGAAGCATTTTTTTGTGGCTTCTGGTTCAAATGAACTTTGAGGGCACGTCACAAATAAAATTCATAAGGATTGTCTTGAAACTGCTCTATGTGATTGATTTTGAGTCTGCAGCTCAACAATTAAAATAGATCAATTTTCATTGAGTTTGGCAATTCTTGCATGATTAATGTAAATAGACAGAGCTTCAGCGCTGCTAGGCTCATCATGTTATCTCCTTTCATCTTGATTTTGGCATTTTGGTTTGATGGTAAATTACTTAATTTCTATTATCAGCATGGATTGGTTTTATAATTTTAGCTTACTGTGTCAAATATTATATTAAAAATAGTCCAAATTTGCTGATGATTCTCTGAACACTAGGTTTGTGCGTGCTGGTACTGGGACGCCTGCTGTGTGCCTATGCTGAGCTGTGGTGTCTGTGGCATCACATCGTCCTCTTGACCACGCATGCTGTTCACCCACGCTGAGCTGTGGTGTCTGTGGCATCACATCATCCTCTTGAACAAGCATACCACCTCCAAACACCAACACACTCCTCACCTCCAAACCCCAACACACTCCTCACCCCCAAACAAACATGATTCTCATTCATGCCATTCTTATTTGATCTCAAAGCAGTTTACAATGACCTCTCGTATAGCCAGTGTAACTTCCATCATTTCTGTATGTGTTGCATTTTTGTCATTGGCTAAGGTAGAGGAATAGTTAGTTAATTAGTATGTAAAAGATTACTCATCACATACACCATAGCAAATATTAGAGTAGATTAGGTCTTTAGTGGAACAAACCAAAGTATTCTTCACGTGAATGCAATCTCAAGACACTATATTTAAGTAGTTCCAGAGTTTTCTCATATATCTCTTATTATTATTTAAATTAATAGTGTCAGCGCTCAAATATTAATATAAACAAACCCAGTATATTTATGAGCCTAGCCATAAGGTTGTTTATTTTATACCCTGCTTGTAATATGCAAATTTTATTGTTTAACTCAGTTACTTGCATCACTTGTACCTGACTGGACATTGCAACCTGTCGTTAATTAACACACAGTCAATAAGTGTGACTGTGTTCATTATAACGTCAGTAGCGTAGATAGACATTGTATGGGAATTAGTGAACTTCTAAAAGAATTAAGCTTGATTTGTAGCAATTAATTAGTAGTTTCCTCGGCAGCTCATTAGTACGTTCTAGTTGAAGCTTAGTTCTACCTGTTGTCACATGTTTTGCCATTTTCCCTGCTGCCAAGATTATTCAGAGTTCTCTTTATATTCTAATCTAAATCATCCATAGACTTTTACATAGACATATACTTAGGTAGACTTTGACATAGACATATGTAGACTTTTATAAAGACATAGACTTTTGTAAAGACATAAACTTAAATAGACTTTTACATAGACATAGGCTTACATAGGCTTTTATATAGACATAGACTTGCGTAGACTTTTACATAGACATCAACTTGCATAAACTTTTATGTAGACATAGACTTGCATAAACTTTTACATAGACATTGACTTACATAGACATAGTCACATAGATGTAGACTTATGCGGCCTTAAAATAGACTTGCATAAACTTTTACATAGGTATAGACTTACGTAGACTTTTACATATACATAAACTTACATTGACATAGACTTATGTAGACTCTTACATAGACTTAGACTTACATAGAATTTCGCATTGATATAGACTTACATAGACTTTTACATAGACATATACTTACATAGACTTTTACATAGACATAGACTTACATAGACTTTTACCACATTCAACTCCTGCAAGTGAGCACATTTTCAACAAATTTGTTGCCGTGTTGTGCTCAGGCTTTCTCTACTTGCAATGAACATCTTTTACTCAGAGATATAATCCATGGTGTTAACTTTTGAATATTCTCTCTATTACTAAGTTTTTTTTCTTAATCTCTAGACAGAGATCTTTATTTTATACGGAAAGGTATTCATTAAGATAATTATTCTATTCAATTGGAATAACTTCCTATGCGTGATGCAACCTGTAGACAAATGACGATGCAGATTCTATTAATTTAAAGCCTCTCGTATGTGTGCAATGCCTCTTATTTAATGTGAAATAGCCTCAAGTACATTGTTATTTACTATGTTGCAGGGACTGCTGTGATTCTGGTAACACTGTTCTATGTATCAGTAATTTCTCTCGTGTTTATCTTAGATATTTATGGGACGATTGATTATTTCTTAAATTAAATTCTCTATTAATGTTGAACTCACCGCAGGTTGATCACAAGCAACAAGATTACCAGTCTCCCATATTAAACTCACTACTAATCTGTACTATTAGTGCTTTATTACCGCACCAGTCATGAAGACATCACATCCTGCAACGGTCGTAAAAGGAGACAGTTCGGTGAGACTCAACTTTACCTCTCAGCTAAGGCCCGCAGTCGGTTACTTTTCAGCTGACAAATGACGTTGAAACAATGTTTGATTAACAAGGGTTCAACGAAGCAACGTTCAATTCAACGTCCAATTTCCGGTGGGTTAGAGTGGTCTGAGCTGGGGTGCTGGCACGCGTCATTGAACCCTCCTGTTAGAGAATTTGTCATTTAAGGATTTGTTGTAAATCCATAAAAGCGCAAATATAGTATGGAGTTTGTCGTGTATTAGTGTTCGGGAACGGGAAGGCATGTATAAGCTGGATTGCTGTACGGAAGAAATTTGTTTAGGCAATTGGGCATTGTAAAATTGCAAGGTAATTAATAGGTCATTGATACTGAAGCCGATGTACGGACAATCTCGTGTTTACTTTCTGCTATTCATCAAAAAATAGCAAAGTATCGTGTTGCATTTTCGGTGATGTTTCTGTACGTTATCCCGGTGAAAGTCTAGTAGCTATTTCAAACTACCGTCAGTCATGTAAAGATCCGGTCAAATGACACGATTATAGATCTTCTGGGAACAAGTCACGAAAAGTTCAAGAATCGGCGACAGGCCACATCAGGCCTACTCTTCAGCGCCGACATCATTATGTTATGTTATCTTATAATCCCATGTTACATTTGCGTTCTGCGCTGTCATTATTTCTCGTACTCTTATTATGCGCCGTCATTATTGCATTTTGTTTCGCGCGGCCAAGGCAAGGCTTATTTCATTAGGACCTATTTTCCGTATAACTTGCAAATCATATTTGTATTTTGCGCAGTCATTGCTAATAATCTTTTTGTTGCTGTCATAACCAATGAATTTGAATTTCTCCTCAAGTTCTGGAATGAGTTGATTTAGCTTCGTATTTGTTGCTCAGTTTCTGCTATCCACGAGACCGAAACGAGCTCACTTAACAATCACCTAAAATTATTGTTAATGAATTCAAACTTACGATTATATGTGATATCTCATGAAGTTCGCTGTAAGTGACAGCAAAACACTTCTACTGTCTGGCTGTAAAGACGTCCATCTTAGAAATTATCACGAAGCTTATAAATTTAAATTGTATCATTATCATTATTATCCTTGTCTTTTATTTTCTGACAACATGACTTTTTCACATTAAGGCCATGTTATGACGATTCTAATATCAAATGTTCAATTGACACTCACTTTGGAGGGCTGAGTTATTTTGAACTCAACATTCTACGGTAGTTGAAGAAAGGCATCTTGGAGTCTAATTACGGGTCGGCAATGTAAACAACTCAATTCTGCCCACGTTTGAAATCGTACCCGCTATCCCAAAGTATGCCCCGGTTCATTTAATGTAGAACTTTTTCTCGACTTATCGGGGCAACCATACAACCAAGAAGAAAGAAATTTCATTCATGGGATTAGTCATTCTTTTTCTAAACTCTCATTTGTAAATAATACCTAAATGAGCAGGGCCTTTGTTACATCGCTATACAGTATCGCTGCATCGCGAATATTGCAAAAGTGCGTATTTTGGAAAGAATCGCGACCGTTAACTGTCTGACGTGAACAGGCAGCGTGCGGGACGTTAGTCGTAGGTGTCAACAAAAAGACTTGGAATTTATATTTCCATTCATTAAATGTAATTGAAGCAAGATTTTTTCAAAGGAGTTGTTAAGGAAATACTTACCATAATTAGTTCTACTATTAACTTCTCCACAGGAACTTGGTCATTTATATACGTCGGGCATTCCAAAGTGCCAGAAGTGGAAAAACGCAAGCACCCCAAGTCAAAATGTAAGCAATCGGATGATGTGCACTTAAAATACCAAAATTGTGATAAAAGAGGCAATTGGAAATCACTGGCACAGAAGAACTGGTTGGAACGAATGTTATGAGCTTAATTAATGCAGCGAACTAAAGCTGCGTCTCTGCGTAATAATCTTTCTTCAAAAAGCCGAGTTAGGACATTTTCCAACACTAGTATGTATCTATTAGTCAGAGTTTGTTTGAAGCCTGGCGCTGTAAATTCTAATGTTAATGGTTAATGGCAGTAACGGTTAATGACCATAGATTTTATTGATTGTTGCAGAATTTCAGGGTCGGACAATTCTTCAGATGACGTTAGTTGATCAAAATGCGGGTGTCTTCTACGGTCATGAACCACCCATGTTTAATAAATTAATGATTTATGTATTTTTCAAATAGAAGTATTTCAAGTAAGACTACTTCATTGGATTTTATAAAGTTTATTTCGTCCCCTAACTGAGTCCTAATTAAAAAAAGCTGTTGTAGTTGCACCGTAATTTAAAAGTTGCATTCCTTCTCTAATTAGCAATTACTTCGCCGACACACAATTGCAGTTACATAGTTCCCTGCTGATACGCGAAACAGCTCACTCGGTGGTAAAAGTTCATACGTAGTTTGCTAAATGATCTACCTAATTTTAATAGATTTAAATTCCTAAAATATTATTGATCCGACACCAAGAATAGATATCAATTGAAGTGTTTCTCGACAGACAAGGCTCTGGAATATGTTTTTTTACGTAGGTTCTTAGAAAAGAAGGGCGTTTTCCCGCCCACCCGACGCGATTAGGGTTAATCTACTTCAATGGATGTGATCTGTCTTGTGGCTTGCGACTGAATCGACACTTTTGCGGGTCGGTTGGCTCCATTCAGGGTTGATTGGTGCACAAAATTGACGGTACACGGCAACATTCCTTCAGTGATGACCCTCGAAACATAATTTGATCCAGACACAGATAAATATAAATAGTTGTAAAGAAAACAGTAGCATGCGCAGCTCTCAAATGACACCAAAAGCTGTCAACCTGCGTTTAAATGTTCTTTTATTTTCATTCCTGAAATGAAAAAAAATGTATTCATTGTAATACAGACGTGCATGAATCATGTTCTGGGAAAACAATTATCTAGTTGATTCATTAAACTGAATTAGTTTTGCTCACTATACTCATCCATTCATAGTCAATAAAATCTAATAATAATTTTTTTTACAGTTGCCAAGAATTTGATTGTCTACCGTAGAGTTATATTGCCTTTTCCAAATATTGCAAAGTTTCACCGCTAGGAGATTGATCTTTACGGTATTTTCTCGTTATTTGACATCTTGCGGCAGCAGTGTGGCTGTGCCCGTACATTGCTTGTCATTCTGGATTTTGTTGTGGAAAGCACTGGCGATTACCTGAATTAAAGTATTTTTTCTCACCATTAGGAAATGATGGGATGTATTACATCTGCAGGTATAACTAACTTTGATAATGTACAAGTTGCTCTCATGTATTTGTATGAAGAAATGTTAAAGTTTGAAATTATTTGGTTCCTGACACTTGACAGAATTTGAGTAGGTAATGATTCGCACCTTGATAATCCTTCAATAAAGTTCGATATTTTGAACTTGATGTATTTACGAAGGACGAAGCAGATCAATGTTATATATAAGATACTAAATCTATCCTTTCATTTACCACAAATATGATATTCTCAAATTCCAAAGAATATTTTATATCTGAATCTGATAGGAAATAGCTACACTTCCTAAGTTTCTAACAAAATAAACAAACTAAGACAGACAAAATACCTAATAAGGTAAATAATTTACCTTATTAGGTAAATTATTTACCTTATTATTACATAGTGGCAAAGCAGAGTTTTTTTAGACTCTCTCTCGCCTCAAGTTTATTTTTGAGTCCTATAAGTACTATAGGCCTGGCCCCTAAGGCTATTAGTAGGTATATCAGTAAAGTATCATGACCTATCATCAATACCTACCACTTGGCACTACCCCACACTCAGAATGATGTATGTTTTCGGTGGATTTTCCCGCACATTTTCACTTTTTTATGCTATTGCTGTGCACAGTTGGCGCAATGTAATGAAAATTGATTCTCTTCGAGACTTCGCGCACGTGTTCACGCAATCCCGTCCATCAATTCTACGTTGCGCTGCCGTGCACGAGCAGTTTGTGGAGGAACAGACGTAATAGTAATACTCACATTACTCAGTACAGTATGCCTTTAATTATCTTTCAATAATATACCTATGATTTTTCTTGATACGGAAATTTGGTGAATGAGAAATCTAGAACTTTATTTTAGAAGAAATTTTCTCCAAAGTCATATGGCAACACTGAACACCATCTGTTTACATTTCGTATGTATAATAGCCGCAGTTTACGATTACCGTACGTTCCGTATCTGACAAGGCAGACAAGCGGAAGAGTCAGAAGTAACCCGGACATGTCTTACATTTTATTATTGTTAGGTAGTTTGACTCGTGTAGTCAATATACTTGCGTATATTGTCTTATCTTGTCTTATCTTTCTAAAGTACAGCGCATGGCACATTTTTTTACCAGCATAGTATGGCGCACCGTGCAGGTCGTTAAAATGACAAAATAAATTCCCACGCACCTGGCACATCTTCCTGACCATGGCCACTACCAGCATTATCATACTCAAGAAATTAGTTTTAATCTTGAGTAAATGAGTAAACTAGAAATGAACTTATTCTAAAAAATCTCTGGTTTGTCACTAGTCGCAGTATAGTCGTAAGTCGGTAGTCTATACTCATTACTCAATACCGTAAAATGGGGTAACTTAGACCGGTGGGGTAACTTAGACCACTTTTCGTTTTTTTAACAAAAAACCCCACAACTCAAAAACTATTTGACATAGAAAAATTTTGTCAATGGGCATTAAAGGCCTAATACTGAGGCTACATAACACAATAGAAAGATTTGAAAAGTTTGCATATCTAATAGGTATAGGTTAAAAAATTAAAAATGTGACACATGAAAAAAAGCTATTATTTGAAGCCTGTCAGAGTACCCCCTTCAATTTTTTTATTTTTTGGTTAAATAACTCCAGGTTTTGATGCATTGTAGTAGAACTCTTCTAGTTACATATGCAAATGACAAATTTTAGGAAAGTGTCATAGTTTGCAAATGGGGGGCGCTGCCCCCAAATGGGGTAACTTAGACCACCTATTGTCAGCCCTGACGGGCTAACATAGACCGGCTTGGAAGTTAATATAAAATTACCATATATAACATATTTTATGTTTGACAGCCTATTTATGTTTTTTCTTTGTTTCAGACTCGACAGAGTCTTATACATGGTAATTTTAACTTAATTTCCAAGCCAGTCAATATTACCCCATCAGGGGCTGCCATTAGGTAGTCACATTTTCCTCATTATGGGGCGGCGCCCCCCATTTGCAAACTATGACACTTTCCTCAAGTTTGTCATTTGCATATGTAACTAGAAGAGTTCTACTACAATGCACCAAAACCTGGAGTTATTTGGAGTTATTTTACCAAAAAATATAATTGATTTTACCACCCGGTCTAAGTTACCCCAAGAGCTGGGGTAACAAAGACCACAACTTTTTTTGAAATTACATAAAGACTATGAGAGGCTGGAGCCAGCAATTTATGGTGAGTGAAGCTAGAGTATAGACCTGTATTTTGCAGGTTTCAATTCAAGTTTAATTTAGCTAGTAAAAAAATGGCATCATTTATAAAAAAAAGTGGTCTAAGTTACCCCATTTTACGGTACTCACTATGTAATAACTTTTTGTGTTTGAAAAATTGAAGTTAGATTTTGCCTCTTATCGAGTTAATACCAATCATAATTTATTGCAAAATAATGGTGCTGGAAAAATAACTAGATTGAATATTTCCCCAAACAGCCAGACCTTAATATTGGTTATGGTTACCGTTAGATTAATATTAGAAAAGTCATCCATTGACCACCACTAAAGTCCTCCACCACCCAGAAAAATATTAAATATTTTATGAGAAAAATTTTTAAATTCATTTGTTGGTTAAATTTGCAATGAATATGCTGTATTAGGTACCGTCAAAGTCAAACAGGGTAAGAAGGGATGGGCGGAGGTAAATAGGGATGCGCATCCTACATTTTGTAGAAATGTTGTAGCTCAAACTAATAAAAATATTGTAAAACTAAAAATAGTGGCGTAAACTTCAACATTTTTACTATCTATTTTGTATAAAGCTAGTCAAGAAATCAAACATTTACTATCTCTAAAAAATCACTGAAAAAAAGTGTGAAAAGTGAAATTTTGGAAAAGTACCTCTGCTAAGATCTGGAGCAAAAAAAAAAAAAAAAATATTCGCCATATTGAAAAATTTTACTTACATAAAAGTTGCACCCAGGTGCCGGCTTGAAAACGTAATTGAAGAATTTGCCTATCTCACTCCAAAAAGAAAAAAATGGCAGCCATTTCTGCGCGATGGGGTAAAAAGGGCCTCCCCCCGTGGGGTAATTAGGGACACCCTTAAAAATGCATTTACAATAGAACCTCGGTTAGCAAGGGCTCCAGTTAACAAAAAAAAAAAAAAAATTTGATTAACAACAAAGAAATTTGATTACATTTACCTCGCTTGGCGAAAAAAATTCACTTGTTGAAAAATTAGTGTATCATCGGTCATCACAAAATTGTACATAGAATGCTATATATAGAATTGTGCACCGGGCATCATAGAATTTGAAAGTAATTGACTTAAACTATGATTTATTTCTTCAAAACATATGATGTTTGTCACTAAAACATTATTTTCTGTTTCAGGTATGTTTTTCACGATCTTTTTTGTTGTAGTGAAATCACTAGAAGTGATTAAAATTGTGCAAAATTACAAACCATCCTGTAAGCTTACAGATACAGAAGAAATGCTACATGGCTGCTGAAATGAAGCTTGCAGTGGACAAGGTCGTTGTCAATGCTCAATGGCATGTCCATGGATACAGCAATATCACGTTAATAATACGGTAATTAATGAATATGGTAATATCATATCAATAAAGGAAAAAAGTAAAAATCACAGAAAATGTCATTTATTTTACATCTACATTATCTACAATGAAAGAGGAGGACTTCAGAGTACTGTTAGTAATAGATGAGTACACTCTGCATGCTTTAAGTGTTTGAAATTGAGTTTTACTTCAAGTGTCCCTTTTTATCCCATTTCAAGATTAATTCAGGAGCCTTTTATATTGCGTCTAGCGCCTGACAAATAGCATATGGAATTTTTTTGAAGATGCCATTCGATAGCCCTCGCAAAGACCTTTAAAATGAGCCTAAATTTGTTTCTGAAATGTTTCATGGTAAGAAGTTATTAACTAAAAATGCTCAAAACCATCCCTTTTTACCCCCATTTGACAGTATAACTTAAAGTAGATTTGTGCCCAAAAAAATTTTTTCCTCTGACTGTAAGGAAAATTATATGGCTGAAATGAGAAAAAAATTCAGAGGATACCATATAAATATAAGTGGAATACATTTAAAAGTGACAAAGCTACAAATGTTTTCCTTTATTAGGCTAAATTACATCTCCTAAATGGACCAATTTTTGGCACTTTTTGGAAAAACTTTTATTTCTAGGTTTCCTATGAGCCAATTTAAAAGATTTTAGCCCCATTAGAAAACTCATGTTGTAGGTTACCATATCTATTATAACTGAAATGAAATATCTGTGTTGAGACTTTTGACAGTTTGACTGCTGGTAGGTAGGAGGAAAATTTCATAAAGGAGTTTGGGCTTGATTTAAATTTATTTGCAATGGCTACAGCTACCTTATGACATCTCCAAGAAAATTCCATATGCTATACGTAATGTGCCATATGCAAATGAAAAGTGTCCCAAATTGCTCCTGTGATCTGGCTAATTTGGGACACTTGATATAAAACGTGATTTTAAAGCATTTGAAGTTTGACTGCTCAATGCCAGTCTCTGTGTCTAGATAGCTGCTAACAACCTCTTGCTGCTAGTCTCTTTGAACCTTGCAGAGTGTACTCATGCTCATCCATTACTAATAGTACTCCAAAGTCCTTCTCTTCCTTGGTAGATGATGTAGATGTAGGATAAATTACATTTCCTGTGATTTGTACTTGGTTTTAGTTTATTGATGAAATTAGCATATCCATACATTACCGCATTATTGATGTGATATTACCGTATCCATGAACATGCATTGTACCGTAAAATGGGGTAACTTAGACTACTTTATTTTTAATGATGCAATTTTTTTACTAGCTGAATTAAACATGAATTGCTGGCTCCTGCCTCTCATAGTTTTTATGTAATTAAAAAAAAGTGATGGTCTTTGTTATCCCAGCTCTTGGGGTATCTTAAACTGGGTGGTAAAATCAATTATATTTTTTAGTAAAATAATTCCAGGTTTTGGTGCATTGTAGTAAAACTCTTCTAGTTACATATGCAAATGACAAATTTGAGGAAAGTGTCATAGTTTGCAAATGGGGGTACCGCCTCCCAATGGGGAACTTAGACCACCTAATGTCAGCCGTGAAGGGGTAATATTGACCAGCTTGGAAATTAAGTTAAAATTAGCATATATAAGACTATGTAGAGTCTGAAGCATGAAGAAAAAACATTACTAGTTGTATCAAACATGAAATATGTTATATATGGTAATTTAAAATTAATTCACAAGCCGGTCTATGTTACCCCATCAGGGCTGATATTAGGTGCCGTAAAATGGGGTAACTTAGACCGGCGGGGTAACTTAGACCAATTTTCGTTTTTTTTACAAGAACCCCCACAACTCAAAAATATTTGACATAGACAAATTTTGTCAATGGGCATTAAAGGCCTAATACTGAGGCTACATAACACAATAGAAAGATTTAAAAAGTTTGCATATCTAATAGGTTAAAAAATTAAAACTGTGACCCACGAAAAAAAGCTATTATTTAAAGCCTGTCAGAGTACCCCCTCCAATTTTTTTATTTTTTGGTTAAATAACTCCAGGTTTTGATGCATTGTAGTAGAACTCTTCTAGTTACATATGCAAATGACAAATTTTAGGAAAGTGTCATAGTTTGCAAATGGGGGGCGCCACCCCCAAATGGGGTAACTTAGACCACCTAATGTCAGCCCTGATGGGGTAACATAGACCGGCTTGGAAGTTAATATAAAATTACCATATATAACATATTTTATGTTTAACAGCCTATTTATGTTTTTTCTTTATGTTTCAGACTCTACAGAGTCTTATATATGGTAATTTTAACTTAATATCCAAGCCAGTCAATATTACCCCATCAGGACTGCCATTAGGTAGTCACATTTCCCTCATTATGGGGTGGTGCCCCCCATTTGCAAACTATGACACTTTCCTCAAGTTTGTCATTTGCATATGTAACTAGAAGAGTTCTACTACAATGCACCAAAACCTGGAGTTATTTTACCAAAAAAAAAATAATTGATCTTACCACCCGGTCTAAGTTACCCCAAGAGCTGGGGTAACAAAGACCATCACTTTTTTTTAAATTACATAAAGACTATGAGAGGCAGGAGCCAGCAATTTATGGTGAGTGAAGCTAGAGTATAGACCTGTAAATTGCATGTTTCAATTGAAGTTTAATTTAGCTAGTAAGAAAATGGCATCATTTATAAGAAAAAAAGTGGTCTAAGTTCCCCCATTCAGGGGCAGTGCTCCCTTATGACCTTATGACCTTATGATGAGTTTAGGACGTCGCAGTCCACGGTCACGCTGATGCGCCGCCTTCGTCGTCCTCCGTCTCCGAGTCGTCGTCGGATGTAACGTTGGACGTGTTCCGTCTATTAGCCCTCATTTGGGCACGCTGATGCAAGATGCTGTTGCTTGTCGCTTGCTGATGGTAGTTTCCCATAACTGGACAGTCCGGGATCTTGCTCAACCACTTGTCCNACACATGCCCTGGTCATCTCCGACAATGACTTCGTTATCCTTAAGCGGGCCTACTGGCGTCTTTATTTTAGCCTTGGACTGAGCATATTTAAAAAAATACTTGGGGTTCTCTTTGATGACCTCAACCACTAGATGTGTATAAGAGACAGCTTCCATCCTGTGCGAGACCTGCAGCCTGAGTTCAATTTTCTTGTGCAAAGTTACTAGCCTCTGTCTTCTCGTATCACTAGTGGATTCAGCTATTTGTTTATTTAATCGTTTGCGTCTTCTCATAAGGATTCGTCTGTCTCTCGGAATGCTGCGGACTTTAGACCCTGTTTTTCTTGGTGTATGACGCACACATACCTGTGCTAGTTTCTCACACAGTTTTTTGTAGATTTCCTCAGCATTCATCTCGTGAAACTCCGCTCTCCAATCGATTTCGTCTATTTCATTCCAAATTTCCCCCCAATCCGTTCTTTGATTGTGAAAGTTAAGTCCTGCCAGTCCCTCTTGGGGTATAGCCCTGGGCAGGGTTTCAATTCCAATTGTCGTTTCCACCATCACTCCCCATTTGCTAACTATGACATTTTCCTCAAATTTGTCATATGCATATGTAACTAGAAGAGTTCTACTACAATTTACCAAAACCTGGAGTTATTTTACCAAAAAATAAAAAAATTGGAGGGGGTTCTATGACAGGCTTTAAATAATAGCTCTTTTTTTGTGGGTCACATTATTCATTTTTTAACCTATTAGATATGCATAATTTTATTATCTTTCTATTGTGTTACGTAGCCTCAGTATTAGGCCTTTAATGCCCATTGACAAAATTTTTCTATGTCAAATAGTTTTTGAGTTTTGGAGGTTTTTGTTGAAAAAACTAAAAGGGGTCTAAGTTACCCTGGGAGTCTAAGTTACCCCATTTTACGGTATAGCATTTCTTCTGTATCTGTAGGCCTACAGGCCTACAGGCTTGTAATTTTGCACCATTTTAATTGGGTCAAGTGAATTCACTGTAACATAAAAAGACCTTAAAAAAATGTACCTACATGAAACAGATAGGAATATTTTAGTGACAACCATCATATTTTTTGTAGAAATAAATCATAGTTTAGGTTATCTACTTTTCATTCTATGTTGCCCAGTGCACAATTCTATCTATAACATTCTTTGCACAATTTTGTGGCCACTGATGATGCATTAATTTTTTGTTAAGTGAATTTTTTTTGCTGAGTGAGGTAAATGTAATCAAAATTCTTTGTTGCTATACATAAATGGGTTTTTAGGGGTGTCCTGTAATACCCTGGGGGGGGGGTGTTTCTTATAACCCAGTCTTGTGGAAGTGGCTGCTGTTTTAATTTTTGATTGAGATATGAAAATTCCAGCAATGAAGTTTTAAAGCCAACACTAATCTGCTACTTTTTTTCCAAACAAAATATTTTAATACTACAAATATTATTTTACTACAGACCTTAGCAGAAGTACCTTTTCAAGATATCACTTTTCAACATTGTTTTCAGGGATTTTCAGAGCTAGTAAATGTATGATTCCTTAACTTCCTTTATGCTACATAGGTAGCAAAAATGTTGAAGTTTATGTCACTATTTTTAGTTATGCAATATTTCAATTGGGTTTACTGCTATTATATTTTTATGCCGTGGTGGACTATCCTGATTTACCCCGCCCATCCCTTATTACCCTGTTTAATGGTTTCCAAAATCCACGTTATTGAATAAATTTATTTCAACTCAACAAGTGTCAAAACTTCAAACTTAATTAGCAAGAAACCATATCAAGCAGAATATCAGGATAATTTTTTTTACTTAATTCCTTCTGCAGAAGTCAGTGATTGAGTATTCTATACATGATAATGTTGAAGTTACTGCATAGTTTTTACTGTCATGATTACAGTATCATCTGAATATAAGTATTGGATGAATGGTTCTGAGTCTAATGAGCCAACCCTGGAGCAGTAACTTCTCAAATTGTCTGCAAAATTGGTTCAGAGATTCCTTGAGAGATGTTATACTCAGCACTTAAAGAAGGCTCTGGTAAATAAGGCTCTGGGTGTGATGTTTTAATGTTCCTTTCTTCTTTTGCAGCGGGCATCCTTGCTTTGCTGGATGAGCCAGAAGCTGAGCTTCAAGTCTTTGCTCTGGAGAGGCTCAATGAGATCATTGATGTCTTCTGGCCTGAGATTGCTGATTCAGTTCAGAAAATGTAAGTATTGTTCACATGAATATAATTTTTAGATAGCTTGCTTAGGACAAGTCAATATTTGGCCTTGATGCAGCATTGTGTAGGGCACATAGCAAATTGCATTGGCATTGTCAAACTCACTTTCCATTCCAGTCAACCAGTTTTTAACAAAGTAATTTCAGTAGTAAAATATTAAGTTGTGTCCTAAATTGTTACCAGATTCATTTATTTGTAGTTAAATTTCACTAACGAGGCTTAGAGATGATAAAAAAATTTTTTACCTAGGACCAATGATGAATTAGCTTCACTGTTATTCCTGTTGACTGGAATATTTTGACATTCTTGTATATATATATAATCCATCTGATATTGATTCAACACTTGTACACCTCCTAGTAGGACATACAGTACTGGTACTTCTCTTATGGAACTTACAAATTGGATTTAGCTTATAATTGGAAAATATTTTATCACTAACATATTAAGGAACTTGAAAGCATTTGAAGCATGAACATCCATGGCCTGGGCTAGTCATGCACTATTAATGTAGGCATCATCAAGGTTAGACTACTGCATCTTTTGGAATCTAGTGTAAGCAGTGCTTTTCTCCTGCTTATTTATTTTTATTGCAGCTCTTTTTTTTTATATAAACTGAACCTACTTTTTAATATTAATTAGACTTTATTCTCTCCATTAGTTTTTTGCTATAAATTTGATTGTAAACTACCTCAATTTATTTGAAAATTTTGCTGCAGAAAATGTCGAATTATTCAGTATTTCATTATTTAGTAATTTAGCATGTAGTAATTTTTGCATTGTATTTAACAATACTAGGATTTCCTACTGAGAAGCTATGAAGTTATTCTGCCTCTGCCTGTTTTGCCCCAGTTTCAATACCTGCCTTTTTTTTACTGTGAACAGTTTTAAATAATGGAGGAACATTGGAACATGGTGTATAACTTAGGTCCTCTGACACTCATCTACCTACATACAATTTTTGAAACACAGCTGGCACAGATATGGAACTTAGGAAATGATGAAATTTTAAATTGTAAAAAATGTCATGCAAATATAGTATGTTAATAAACATTAATATAGAATATGTGTACTGATATTAATTTATTCATTTTTTGTACAGTGAAGCACTGCAAGAAAATGAGACCTTTGCAAAGCGGGAATTGGCTGCCCTTGTTGTGTCAAAAGTCTACTTCCATCTTGGCTCCTACTTGGACTCCCTTAACTTTGCTCTGCGATCTGGCTCTCTGCTCTCAAAGGATCCCAACACTCTCTACATCGACACTATCAAAGGTATTATTGCTGCTCAGGATCCCAACACTACATCAACACTATCAAAGGTATTATTGCTGATCAGGATCCCAACACTACATCGACACTATCAAAGGTATTATTGCTGCTCAGGATCCCAACACTACATCAACACTATCAAAGGTATTATTGCTGCCCAGGATCCCAACACTACATCAACACTATCAAAGGTATTATTGCTGATCAGGATCCCAACACTACATCAACACTATCAAAAGTATTATTGCTACTCAGGATCCCAACACACTCTACATCAACACTATCAAAGGTATTATTGCTGCTCAGGATCCCAACACACTCTACATCAACACTATCAAAGGTATTATTGCTGCTCAGGATCCCAACACATTCTACATCGACAGTAAGAAAGGTATTGATAATGTCAAAAGAACTATAGTGTCAATTTGGTTGGGTCAATAATTTGGGTTGCATGAGATCCAATTATAAAGGCCATTGTAACAGTGAATTTCTGTAAATCACAGAATTGTCTTTTTTGATTGTAAGATCAAAAGTATACTAGTAAGAATGGTTTCATAATATCAGGACTAAAAGATTATGTAGCTGAGATAATGCATTGTTTTATCTTGAGGCTATTTGCAAAAAAATATTTTTGAAAAGTAAAACTCAATACCACCTCTTAAAGTACCTACCTAACTGTGCATTAAGTTCTAAGTTGACAATGGTTGTGTCCGACAGTTTTCCTTGTACCATGCTTTCTGTAAATTTTCTGCCAGCAGTAGTCAGCTTGTATCTGATCCATTGGTAAATATTGCAGTCAATGCCATCGACCACTATGTTGGGCTGCGGAGGGACGCAGAGAAGATGGACCCAAGACTTGAGGCGTTGCTGAATGGCTTGTTTGAACACAGCCTGCAGGAGCACCAGTATAGACACGCACTTGGTATTGCCATCGAGACCCAGCGGATGGACTGGTTCAGTCAAGCCATTGCAGCTTCGGTGCGTGCACAGAACATTAACAATGTCTCTGGGTTGGGACTGAACTTATCCCAAGCTCTGCTTAAACTAGAATTTTGCCTTAACTGCTGTGATTCTCTGTGTAATTCCACCCTAGAAATTTTCAGCGCTCATCAAGTTTCACTACCTTTTAGCACCAATGCTGTTGCAATAGTAGTTTTTGAAAACAAACTTGACAAATGATGCTCCTGATTGTCAACCGCTAACAATCAAACGTTTCAAAATAGCACCTGCACATGGGTTGCTCATTGGGATAAGAGTATATGCCTAGTAGTGTTTTTTTTAATATTCAGTGCACAGCATTTAAATATTAATAGCTTTATTTGTCTTCTGCTCAGATTTTAATTTCATAGTTGAACATGATTTCTATTAATGTAGCACTATCATATGATATTAAAAATAAGCAGATCAGTTTTTTGTTTGTTTGATTTTTTGTACTTTGGAGACATGTATAGAGAGACTCCGTGCATGATTTTTTGCATATTCCGTATTGCTCTATTGAAGGCTACTGATGTTCTGCCAAGAATCAATGCATTGGCTTTACAGGACGACCGCGTGGGCAGCATGCAGTACAGCTACCGCATGGCCATGCAGTATGTAGAGCAGAAACTCTTCAGAGATACTGTGCTGGAGGAGCTGGTTCGCCTCTACCAGAAAGACACTCATAGGCCTGACTACGTTAATATGTGCCAGTGCCTCATTCATCTCGACAGACCTTCTCACATTGCCACTATACTCGACTCCCTTATTAAAGATGACTCCCTTAAAACTGCAGCCATGGTGAGTTTTTTTCAATTTTACAGTTAATTATATATCTTCTTGATGAACAGCAACTCCTTTCTACTTGTAAGCTTCTTGCAATTTAGGATCAACTATTGGTAAACTTTGGCACTTGGTATAAAACCTATTGGTATGTGTTTCTTCATCTGGAATGAAAATACTTGAATGTACGTCACAGACTTGAAAAAAGTGTATAATTTGTTGTACTCTGCAAACAGGACAACGAGTTGATGGCATACCAGATTGGTTTTGATCTTTATGAGAGCGCAACACAGGACTTGCTGTGCCAAATACACAGAGAGCTCTGCGCTACTGCCCCTGTACCATCTCTGATCAAGGCTATGCAGCACCAGGTACGTGACTACACACTAAAATATCTCTGCCCTACTGCCCCTGTACCGTCTCTGATCAAGGCTATGCAGCACCAGGTACGTGACTACACACTAAAATATCTCTGCGCTACTGCTCCTGTACCATCTCTGATCAAGGCTATGCAGCACCAGGTACGTGACTACACAGTAACACATCTCTGCGCTACTGCCCCTGTACCATCTCTGATCAAGGCTATGCAGCACCAGGTACGTGACTACACAGTAACACATCTCTGCGCTACTGCTCCTGTACCGTTCGTTCACAAATTTGATTGCATTCTATGGTTTGTTTTTTGTTATATTTTTGTTAGATTACTAAGATGATATTCTAGTATAATATTGAAAACTTGTAAATTAAGAAAGCTTATTTTAAGAGACCTCAGTTTATGTTAAGGTTATATTGTTGGGATAATTACATTTATAATGTGCCACAATTTTTTACAAATATGTTATCTAACGTGGATATCACATCACTACACCAGTTATAAGACTACCCTAAAGGCCTCTACACTTTTTTGACTTTGCTATGCCACTCAATATGCTGGACCAACCAAAATTTGGAGGCCATTGGTATTTTCCCCATAAATCAAGCGATTATATATTAATCAAGGCCCATAGCTTACAGTTCGTACCTATTGCAGATTTACAGCTACCGAGAGGTGTGTGTTGAAGCGTGTTAATTCACCTTAAATGCCTCGACATGCATGCATCTTTTTTGATACAAGAATACTGTACAGTTGATCCTTATTTAAAAGCTCGTGTTGCATAACTAGAGCCATGGAGCTCTAAGGTTGAGGGTATCAGAAGCCCTTGATTATTTGACATCAGCTACTATGACTTCAGTTCCATTATCTGAGGCAGGGAACTGAAAACCGGGCTGTTGGAGCGTTGCTGTGCCTTTAAGGCCAATCAAACCTTTTACGCAAAACATGAATCATCCAATGCCAGGAACGTGTCGAGAAAGCTGGTTTTTATTTTTTTTTTTTGGGCGAAAAACCTTACAAAACAATAAAAAAAGTATATAAAAAATTGAATGACTTATTTTTCAAAAAAATTGCTGCACTTAATACCTGTACCTTATTGTGCTTCAAATTTTCTATGTATACTGCAAGCTTATTCCACAATTCATAGTCACCCATTCCTAAGCAGCAGTAATGCGAGCCCCGTAGCGTTAACCTCGTTATAGTAGGATGATATGTGTGCCCCCATAGGGACCCTCACCTTAAGTGGTTGCTTTGCCTTATGTCTCATATTGCTTCACTTGTACTCAGGAGCCTAGGAAAGGAAAAGATGGCGATGATGACGGTGAGGACAAGAAGGAAGACGAGGAAGAAGAAGCAATGGAAGCCGAGAACCTGGCTTCAAAGGATGAAGCGGAAGGAGATGTCGCGTTACCGGAGGAAGAGAAATTATCTGATAAAGTTGACACAGCCTCTGCTGACCTGAAGTTGCTCGAGGATTTGGTGAGTGTTAACGCTAGATTATGTAGAGGGCAATCAAACAATTGATTGGTCTGTCATCTGAGAGAGTTCTGCGCATTATTTTCCATTTAAACGATTGAATGAATTGCAAGGCCATCCTTTGTAAGATGCAGCTTAATATTTCTTTTCATTGAATCAAATCACCTGGAACTACAGTCACTATTCTGTCCACATGTATTTTCATTCTGTCCATATGTATTGGATTTTCATTTCTGTTCTGTTGAATGCATTTTTCAGAGCCCCGAAGAGAAAATTCATCAAAGCCGCTGCGAGAAAATGTCTCAGATTTTATCAGGGGAGGCAACGATCCAGCAACACCTGCAGTTCCTGATCAGCAACAACCACAGTGACCTGCTGATCTTGCGCCACACCAAGGACGCGGTGCGGGCCTCAGTGTGCCACACAGCCACCGTCATCGCCAACGGCTTCATGCACTGCGGCACCACATCGGACCAGTTCCTCAGGGAGAACCTGGACTGGCTCTCTCGAGCCACCAATTGGGCTAAGATGACCGCCACGGCGTCCCTGGGAGTCATCCATCGTGGACACGAGAAGGAGGCCCTCACGCTCATGCAGGTGCGATTGATTTCAATTTTGGCTTAACACGTTGACTACGTATTGGTACATATGCGTACCACGAAATGTATTTCTCCTGGTACATAATTCAGGGTTGCCAGATGGCCTAAAAAACGGCCAATTAAGTCCGTGAACAAAAAGGCCAAAAAAGCCTATAACTCAATATATACTAGTATATTTGTAGGTTCCGGTGTAAAAATTCAATTTTTTTAGTTAATTAGGAAGCGCCCCTTACAACCCCAATCATAAATTTTAGCCGACCACCTAAATTGAAAAAACTAAATCGCGGAATTTGTCCGATAAAAAAAGAAAGTCAGGCAACCCTGTTCCATAATAGTACTAGAAAAATGAAACAAAAGTACAAGATGAACCAATCGTAGTCAACGTGTTAACAGTGCACGTATACAGTATCTTATTTTTGCTTATTTTTTCAGTAATGTGGTCGGTGTTTTTTTTTGGAAGTGTAAATACCAACTTTCAAGCATGCAGGAGCCAACTTATAAGCATGCATCACCGCGATCAGCCGCTATGCAGTCCGATTTATCTCCCGTGGTATTCCTTCACTGAGTCTTCACGCTATTACTCCACTCGTGAATAAGATAGCTGTTTGAATTTCTAAATGCTATTCCAGCTATTTATTTTAAACTGTTGATACTTTGATAATAGTTGTGAACTTTTTATTATAACTGCCAATGATGCTTGTGTAAAGTAGGCAACTAATGCAGTTTTGAGATGTTACGTTGGTTTTAATATTCATTCTCTACTGACCGGCATGCCGCTCTTTACTGAATCAGAATCGTTGTGGTAGATGAAAACGAACTGAACTAGTAGGAACTGGTAACGAGGAATGTGTTGACCATGGTTGAATTACATAAGGTTGACCCACGAGGATTTCCGTATTTCAGTTCAGCTTTCTTGTTACGTCACTGAGATCGAGAAACGTAAACAATCCCGTCATTCCTATTACGGATTGGTTGACTGGTTTGTCACATTTCGGTGATTGGTTAATGCCCGTGACGTCACTGAGATCAGTGACGTCACAGACGAACAACAAACTACATCCGCAAAAATGAGCTTCTCATGGGTCAACCTTATAGTACTTCAACCATGGTGTTGACAGCCGTGCTCAACCTCGCGGCTGCGGGCCGATGATACGGGGTAGGGGTGAGAGCTCACGGAAAAGCAAGTGGAAAAAGATGGCGGCCGCCTGGACACTGCTTGTTTCCTTAAAGCGCTCCAGTCACAGAAATGTGTTGATTGTGACGAGGCGATTGAGGGCATATGATGACTGAAATACAACGGGCCTCATTTTACAGCATAGTCCTGCTCATGGTGTCTCACAGTTCATGCCTCGCGGCCGTACTTTCTTGAGAAAAATATTTGTTAATACAGAATGCCCGCGATACTTCGCTGGTTTACTTCCCGGATTTTTTCTAAATACTCATATCGCACATATTGTTTTTCATAGTAAATTCTGAATTCGCCTTAATTCCTTCAAAATGTAAAACATGTAAGTGCTGAATTTTTGTGGAGTTTAGAACATCGTTGAAAGTTTTCACTTGTGTGGAATTAGTTGTAGAATGATTTGAAGGTTTAAGATTGTTAGCATTGTAAGATGGAGGAAACTTTCGTATACGTGCTTCTTTAGACTTGACAACGTAGTCAGTAACCTTAATTGTGTTGGAAATCTTCACTTAGAAGAGAATGAGGAATGTTCTAAAATGCACTGACTTACAGCTATACAAGATACATAGATACTAACACAGACACCACGTTTTTCTTATGACGTATTTCAGGGAGCGTAGCATTCGAGGGAACACTGTATGTAACTGTTGAATTATTTTTACGTTGATCACACAGATACGTTCAAGGATCCTAAGCACAAAAGATTTACAGATGCTATCTCTTGCTTTTATTTCTGGTTTGAAACTTTTGCCTCTGGTAGAGACGGCAATAAATAATGATGGTAAATATTGCAGGCATATCTGCCCCGCGAGAGCAACAGCCCAGGCTATGTGGAGAGTGGCTCGCTCTACGCCCTTGGTCTGATCCACGCGAACCACGGAGGTGCCATCATTGACTACCTCCTGACGCAGACGAAGGAGACCAACAGCGAGGTTGTGAGGCATGGAGGTTGTCTGGGTCTCGGTCTGGCAGCGCTGGGCACGCAGCGCGTCGACATCTACGAGCAGCTGCACAAGTGCCTCCTTACTGACGACGCGGTCACTGGCGAGGGCGCTGGTCTTGCCATGGGACTCGTCATGATGGGCTCCAACCACACCAGAGTGATCAGGGGTGAGTGGTGTTAGCTGGGGTGAGTGGCGTGTTGGCAGGGGTGAGTGGTGTTAGCTGGGGTGAGTGGTGTGATCAGGGGTAAGTGGTGTTAGCAGGGATGAGTGGTGTGTTGGCAGGGGTGAGTTGTGTGATCAGGGGTGAGTGGTGTGATCAGGAGTGAGTGGTGTGATCAGGGGTGAGTGGTGTTGGCAGGGGTGAGTGGTGCGTGGTGTGATCAGGGGTGAGTGGTGTTAGCAGGGGTGAGTGGTGTGTTGGCAGGGGTGAGTGGTGTGATCAGGGGTGAGTGGCGTTAGCAGGGGTGAGTGGTGTGATCAGGGGTGAGTGGTGTGATCAGGGGTGAGTGGTGTGTTAGCAGGGGTGAGTGATGTGTTGGCAGGGGTGAGTGGTGTGTTGGCAGGGGTGAGTGGTGTGTTAGCAAGGGTGAGTGGTGTGATCAGGGGTGAGTGGTGTGATCATGGGGTGAGTGGTGTGATCATGGGTGAGTGGTGTTGGCAGGGGTGAGTGGTGTTGGCAGGGGTGAGTGGTGTTAGCAGGCGTGAGTGGTGTGTGATCAGGGGTGAGTGGTGTGATAGGAGGTTAGTTTTGTGTTAGCAGGGGTGAGTGGTGTGATAGGAGATTAGTTTTGTTTTAGCAGGGGTGAGTGGTGTGTTAGCAGGGGTGAGTGGTGTGATAAGGGGTGAGTGGTGTGATCAGGGGTAAGTGGTGTGATCAGGGATGAGTGGTGTTAGCAGGGGTGAGTGGTGTTAGCAGGGGTAAGTGGTGTGATCAGGGGTAAGTGGTGTGATCAGGGGTGAGTGGTGTGATCAGGGGTGAGTGGTGTGATCAGGGGTGAGTGGTGTGATCAGGGGTGAGTGGTGTTAGCAGGGGTAAGTAGTGTGATCAGGGGTGAGTGGTGTTAGCAGGAGTGAGTGGTGTGTTGGCAGGGGTGAGTGGTGTGTTGGCAGGGGTGAGTGGTGTGATCAGAGGTGAGTGGCGTTAGCAGGGGTGAGTGGTGTGATCAGGGGTGAGTGGTGTGTGATCAGGGGTGAGTGGTGTATGATCAGGGGTGAGTGGTGTGTGATCAGGGGTGAGTGGTGTGTGATCAGCGGTGAGTGGTGTGTGATCAGGGGTGAGTGGTGTGATCAGGGTGAGTGGTGTGATCAGGGGTGAGTGGTGTGATCAGGGTGGGTGGTGTTAGCAGGATGATGTTGCCGGCACCGTGGGAGAGGGTGTGGTCTGAAATGCTCTTACTTCACGTCTCTGGCCGCTGTATTGTAAATTTTGTCATTTACTTGATGAAAGAATAACAGCGGTAAGTATAAATTATACTGGATTATGGATTGTTCGTTAACAGCGGAGTAGTTACATGGTAAAGAATTAGTTGAATTATAAAATTGAAAGATTTAAATTAATGGTGTAAATCAAAGAGTATTTTTAGGAGCACACGAGGAGCAAGCAGTAACTTTAGGAGAAATTAATACCTAATCAATACACTTGCCATGACATGTTGAATGTACATAAAATACGTAGTTTCCTTTATAAAAATAAATAGAACGCAGCATTCATGAGTTCAATTTAGCGATGAAGTCAAGGCAGTGAAGACAATAGTTTACTGACTAGCCTAATGTATCTATGTCACAATTTAATAAAATATTCACAATTCAATAGGAATTGACTCACCAAAAATACAAATTAGAAAACTTTTTTTAGAATCGAATGAATGAAAAGCAATTCATGAGAACCAGTAAAAGTAAAACGGTGCAGTAAATATTGAAATAGTTTGGCTAGCATTAGATGCAACAGTAATAATTACAGCTGGTAGAATGGAGTGACAGTTAACTGGCAGTGAATAAGTTTAAATCGTTACAGAAGTTTGGTAAATGAACAAAACATTTTAAGTTCAAACCAAGTTAACTCATGGGCAATTATTGTACCATTCACAACTTATATTTTGCTATTAAAAGGCCCTACCTATGAACTCACATAAGTATCAGGTCCTTTTAAGGCAAACCACCGACATAAAGTAGACAGCCTGTTAAAGGATACTGCGGACAAGTACTAACACTCGGATAGCCAGAGTAAGAAAACCAATCGGGGTTAGAAATGAAATTAACATGATTATGAAAATACAGATTTTATTTGTGTCGAGAAAGTCATGGTACCCCAGGTTATAGTGTGTTGAGAATTTTATTTACTTTCCTATAAATAAACAGAAATCTGTTTAAATAATTTTTTTGTGATGTCAAAATGACGGCTAATTTATATAATGTTCTCAGAAATGGTCGAACACGCTAGGGAAACTAGCCACGAGAAGATAACTCGTGGCCTTGCTGAGGGTATCGCCATAGCCATGTATGGTCAGCAGGATCAGGCTGAGGACCTCATCACCGAACTGCTGGCTGATAAGAATGCCATCCTGCGGCGTTGTGGCATGTACACCATAGCCATGGCGTACTGTGGCACAGCTTCTACGTCTGCCATGCGGCGCCTTCTACACGTCGCGGTCTCTGACGTAGACAATGACGTGCGCCGAGCGGCGGTTGAGGCCCTCGGCTTCCTGCTGTTCAGGTCGCCTGATCAGGTAAAAAATATATAACTCAGTACTCTCTGCAGTGAGTGACAGAGCGAGCATTTTCTCGTCGACGGAAATGTGAAGTCATGGACAGACGGACGGACATGACGAGCACAATAGCGCCTTTTTTCCATAAACGAGAAAATGCGCTAACAATCAAGGCTGCGTTCGTTGATGTGTCAATAAGTGCCTCGTGACAGTTGTATGCCGTCGTTGTTGCTGTTAGCTATTAGTAAGTATTGAAGATCCGGCAGCACCGTGAGCTACAGACGGGCGGCATTCTTTCTCATGGTTGTCTCTCAGTGGGTTAGCCGTATCTTGACTTGTTCATGAGACGACATTCTAACATTTTTATTTCTTCTTTCTTTAATTCGAAACTATAAAAATAAACAAATAATCTCACACTAGTACGGCCAGACACTTTTTTTTAGAAATTTGTATCAGTCGAAAGGCAACATTCTGCCTTTTTTTATAAAAATCCAGCTATTTATTCATTTTTCTTGAATTTGAAACTAGAAAAACAAACAAATAATCTCACACTTCTACGGCCAGACACTTGAATTTTTTTTTTAAATTTGTGTCGGTCGAAGGAGAGTGTAAACAAGGTTGTAAGTTACCCAGTTGTCGCTGTCATGAGGTCATGCCCTCCATGAGCATGAGTAAGCCGAAATGTTCCTACATCGGGTGCCTGAACATCAAGCAGCTAATAACTAAGGTTGCATAGTCATGAGAGGGAGGATGATGAATCAGAACTGAACGTGGAATGCACGGCAGAGTCCCGAACATTGCGCATTCAGCACAAACGCGTTCCCGAACATTTGCGCGTTCAGTATAAATATTGCGCGTGCTATTTTCCAGCTCTGGGATCAGATCCCTCAAGTGCTTGTCAATTCTGACTAATAACGTATGCTTTCTCTTCGTTCATTGCAGTAATGCTAGTAGGGCTTGTATTATTGGTACTAGTCGGCTTGTACTATTACTACCTGTCTCAAGTTGCATATCTTAGAAACATCTTTATACACCAATTACGTATAACGTGTTGTCATTAAAATTACTCACATTCCCAAATTTCTATTCTTGACACTCATTATGTGACGATATTGATTTTTTGATGCTTATTTGGATCTCCAAAACCTATGGTATGTCTAACTGTTATCTCTGAATGCTCCACGTGGCAAGCGACGTTAGATTGATTAGATCTGAAATGCCAGTAAATGTGGCCTCAAGAATAACTAGTATAAAGGTAGTTGATGGGCAGCAATGATGTATCTTATAACTCACACCTGTATGTTGCAGGTGCCGAGCATGGTGTCGCTACTGTCGGAGTCATACAACCCCCACGTGCGCTACGGAGCGGCCATGGCGCTGGGTATTGCCTGCTCCGGCACAGGACACAAGGAGGCCCTCAATTACCTTGAGCCTCTCACCAACGATCCTGTTAACTTTGTCCGTCAAGGAGCCCTGCTGGCGTCGGCTCTCGTTCTCATACAACAAACCGAAGTCACGTGCACTAAAGTCAAGGATTTCAGGCAGCTTTATGCTAAAGTGGTCGCTGATAAACATGAAGATTCCATCGCTAAGTTTGGGGCGATTTTGGCGCAAGGTATCATTGATGCGGGTGGTCGCAACATGACGATCTCGTTGCAGTCCAGAACTGGCCACACGAACATGACCTCCGTTGTTGGTATGTTTGTTTTCACTCAGTTTTGGTACTGGTTCCCTCTTGCCCATTTCCTCTCCATGGCTTTCACTCCTACTTGCCTCATCGGACTGAACCATGAACTGAAAATGCCCAAGATGAACTTCGTTTCCAATGCAAAACCATCGATGTTCGGTTATCCTGCTCCTCTCGAAGAGAAAAAGAAAGAAATCGCCGAAAAAGTCACTGCCGTGCTTTCGATTACGGCCAAAGCCAAGAAGAAAGACGACGAAAGAAAGAGAAAAGAACATAAGGAAGAAAAAATGGATGTGGATGAAGATGCAAAAGACGACAAAGAGCCTAAAGAAAAAACCGACAAAAAAGAGACAAAGGAAAAAGATAACAAGGGTAAGAAGAAAGAGAAGGAAACCAAGGATAAAGATGCAAAGGAAATTAAGGGTGAGATCAGCAAGAAAGAAAGCGAGGAGAAGAAGAAGGAAGAGCCGAGCATGGATATACTGAACAACCCTGCGCGTGTGATGAAGCAGCAGCTTCGCGTGATGCGCATCCCTGACAACTGCCGCTACCAGCCCGTCAAGGATGTGGGCATCGGCGGCATCATCCTGATGAGGGACAGCACCCCCGACACCAGGCAGGAGCTCGTGCAGCCTGTGCCTGCCATGGGGCCTAAGACTGAGGATGAAAACGAGCCCGAACCTCCCGAACCCTTCGAGTACATCGACGAAGATTAGAAGCTGCACTTGACACTTGTATACCTTCTTGTTGATGAGAGCTGGACAAATTAACGATTGGGACAAAACTTGAAGGCAGTTTTTTGTATAATTTTTAAGTTTCTTGCTCTTAAAAGCTTTAGCGGTAGGTACGGCGCAGAAAAACCTTTTTCAGTGATGGTTGATTGGACTCCGTGCTAGGAGAAAATGAACGAACCTTCACGAAAAAATAGTTTCTCATCTCGGCAAAAAAATTATGTACAGCATTGGATATAAATTAAACATACGTTACTAGGTCAGTTTATTTTGAATTATTTTGAAAGAGCGTCGTTCTCCTTACAATGGAAGTGCAAGGTTCAAATACTATTTGATATTTCATCGGTTATCTCACTTTCCTCCCCGGGAATCAACTCAAGTATTTGATTAGGGTGGTTATTCAAGTACTATTGGTTTAGAGCCAGTTACTGGCTGTGGAATTTATGTGAAAAAAAAAAGAATGCTTCAACGATATAATTTAAATGTCAACATTTTAAGCTGGGTTTAAGTGACATCGTTCATTCATCTGTCTGCCACTATAGTCTCTTACTCTTCGTTCTTGAGGTTTTCTGTAGTCACTAATCGACCTAAATTTAGTGAATGCGTCCAAAAAAATATGGCACCATGTGTTTGCCATGGACTAGTAAGATGCTCAATAGTATGCATTTCTAAAACAACTTCAACTTATGCGCCACAAGTAAACGTGTGGGGCCATACTTTCAAAACTCGCTAGATGAACGTGAGTACTAAAGCTCTATTTTCTTGTCTATGATTGACAGATTTTGCTTGAAAGGCCGTCAATGATTGGCTGATGAACTTACGATCTCTTAACTTTTTTTGAAACTGGTCTTTGACTCGCTAACGACCGACTTTGGCGTAACTATGCACTAGACAAGGTCCGCTTCATACAATCGCATACGCGTAACATTATTGCTTCGGTTTACTGTTTAAATAAAAAACTCTGAAGCCCTTAGGGCTTGAGGTCGAGGCATTCAAAGGCTCGTGTAGTAGCAGGACGCAAATGAATTACGGTATATCGGTTGGCTATACACCAACGTACAATGTACGGCAGAAGCGGAATCTTTGTGTACGCCAATGAAAATTCAATTAGCTACGCTATGAATTAAAGGAATTAGATCCTGTTGAAAATGACATTTCGAGTTTATTGAATGGAATGTCTGGAGTGATGAACGTGATGTTAAGATTATTAACATGTAAACCACAGGGATAGGGAAGAATCCTGCAATAATAATATGCAGGGCTTGAATGAATAGTAATCGTTTATTTTCTCAAGTACAGGATTATTTCGCGTGGCGATTGGTCAGTCTAGAACAGTGATTCCCAAACTTTTGTAGGCTGGAGTCCCCGTGGCTCCCAGTGAATTCCTAGCACCCCTCACAGACGCATAATATTCACATAGCGCTTCCCACAGACAAAGAAAAAACCCTGATTTTTAATATTTTCTAAATTTCACACAATACATCCAGGAGATGTTAAAAAAATAGATCTGGGTGGAAAAAACCATCGCTGGGAGCCGTTTTAGCTGCTCATGTGTACAAATCGTCAAATAAACATTCGAACTTCTGACTTCGATTTTGGACTGCCGCTTCCTAACCGCCTCCTTCTTCGTCAGCGCCCCCTCGGATCTTTCCACAGCCCCAAAGGGGGCGGTACCGCCCACTTTGGGAACCACTGATCTAAAGCAATACTAGATTATCACATTCTTGCGCATTCCAGCTTTAGGTTGGTTGTATGCTTTCTCATAAGCATCAATAACTTGAGAGGTTGCTGATAATAAATTCTATGGACAATTTTTACAAACAAATCACTTACGAATAAGGTAGTTATTGTATGTACTTCTTACAACAGAAGTCCTGTTTATGGAGAAGAAAGCATCATGTCTACTGGTGGTACATGTGGATTTTAGCATCATGTCTACTGGTCTAGAAGTTGTCTTTTCCTGTCGAGGTCAGCCATGAGGGCGCCGGCGAGGTTGCGGGGGGTCAGGTCGCGGTGCAGGAAGTTCTCCACGAGGGTCCTGGGGGGCACGCCGCCCCCGTGCTCTAGAACCTCCCGCCTGTAGCGCTCGCCAGCGATCCTGTCACGTGTTACCAACGGAGGTATAACATCTTTTGATGGAGTAAATGATGAGTAAAGTGTAAACTGGGCATCTAACACTACAGCTACGGCATGATATGTGGTGATTTGATGTCGCAGGTCCTGGCGAAATAATGAACCCAAAAGCGATATAGGAACAGCGAAATAATGAAGGCAATAGAGCAAATATGTGAACAATATTCGCAAAATAAAATTGTGCATTGATGAAGAGCGTGAAATATTCATAATAATAATGATTTGAACTTGAGCTGTGTTCTGAAACACGAAGAATTGCGTTTTGGTGATCAAACTGCGGTGTGATCTTGATGAGATCTAAAGAGAACAGGAAAGAAGGTGCAATTCCATCGTCGAGTGGAAATTCTCAGAGAAGGACAAGAAACTTGAGAAATGAAGCGCCTGTCGAGGAAAGGTTATCCTCTGAAATTGTACCTGATTTTTTATTTGGAATATATGAAAGATACAAAATATGAGGATTGAACAAATTTATTTGAACAATTACTGAAAAGAAACAAGAAATTGGAATACAATTGCTCACCTGGAGAAAGGATCGTCCTTGAAGTACTGCTGCCAGATCCAGGACGCAACGGACCGGCTGACGAGGTAAGCGTAATACTTGCCGCCGTAGCCGACGAAGTGACTAAACCTGTGCTGCCATGCCGTATTGGGGACGTGGGGCAGACTACAGTGCTTCTCATGCTCCTCCTGCAGCACGTCACTCGTCGTCACGCCAGACTCCCAGGGCACCGTGTTGCTGTGGTACCTCTGGTCCACGGCGGCGTAGTATACCTGCGCCAGGGGCGTCATAATCATAGGAACATTGACTGCCATAAAGGACAAACGAGAACACTCCGCCTATAACAGACTAGACGAAGCTATGCAGGAGCATATGTTCAGTCTTAAAATGCCTAGCACCTTACGGACCAGGCAATAAGGCCAGCAGCTATCTCAATCAATCGTCAGTTATGGAAAGATCGGGTTCCATAGGCCGGATCCCTTGTGAATCAAGTCACGAAAAGTACAAGAATCGGCAGCAGGCCATGGACCTATTTCTTCAGTGCCGACACTTCTATTCTATGTTGAGAGCACCTCATTCAAATGTATTAAGTGAGATGCAAAAATTGTATGAAGATGATATTAGCAGAATAAAAACATAAATTGATTCCGTATGTAATCTACTTGAGAAAATTCCATTTTTAAAAGCTGCACATTCGAAGCAAACCCAGAAAACTACAACTGCATACGCCTGTCAGTACTCAAGAACGACATTGTTAACATTGATATTCAATGTTAACATTGATATTCAATGCTAGCAATGATATTAAATGAGATATTCAATGTTAGCAACAATTCATATCCTGCTCAACAGGACATGAATTATTCCCAAGTGCGCGGTTTGAGTCTGTTCAATCTGAGGACCCTAACCTGCGTCTGGAGTTCACTGGAAGCGAAGACGGCTCTGCTCCTGACGAGGTTGTGGAGCAAAAGCTCGGGCACCGCGTCGCCCGTCTTGTAGTGGCGACCAAATGAGCCCAGCACGCGGGCGTCGCTCGCGAAGAACTCCATCAGTATAGAAGGAACCTCGGCGAAATCGGTGCTGCAGCGCGTGCCCGTCACGTGCTGGTAACGCGTCCTGTGGATGTTAGGAGTGTCAACGAGGGCCGGTCACGTGCTGGTAACGCGTCCTGTGGATGTTAGGAGTGTCAGCGAGGGCCTGTCACGTGCTGGTAACGCGTCCTGTGGGTGTTAGGAGAGTCAGTGAGTGCCCGTGACATGCTGGTAACGCGTCTTGTGGGTGTTAGGAGAGTCAGTGAGTGCCCGTGACATGCTGGTAACGCGTCCTGTGGGTGTTAGGAGAGTCAGTGAGTGCCCGTGACGTGCTGGTAACGCGTCCTGTGGGTGTTAGGAGACTCGGCGAGTGCCTGTCACGTGCTGGTAACGCGTCCTGTGGGTGTTAAGAGTAAGCAAGTAACACTTTGCTGTGTAAATTATGCCAGTGTAGGAGGCTCGGGCTCTGTCCCCTCATAAACGAAGCCCCAATTGATGATTTGGATTAGAGTTGCATCTGTGAAGAGTGAGAGTTGATTTGGGAGCGTTAGCGAGTCATGACTGCTCGACCACGATGATCCTCGGACAAGAGAAAACATCTCCAGGCTCTGGATTCAAGAAGGCTGTAAGAAGAATCATTGAAGGCTGTACGACAAAAAAGTTCATCAATTGAGAAATGTGTAGCAAATTTGATGCGAGTTATATTGTTGTTGAGGTTTATATTGATGGTTTAATGATAGTTCTCACCGCGCCATCATGGAGTGGAGCGCGTGCCCCATCTCATGAAAGAGATTCTCGACCATCCCGGGCGACAGGAGAGGAGGTCCTGACCAGGACGCCGCAGGCAGGGACAGCTGCACCACCACGCACGGCGTCTGTGCAGGGCAAGAGTCAGGCACGCGGTACAACGTACCAATAATCACAGATTGCGTCAATAAGGGCAAAAAAAATGATCTCGATTTTTGCTTTTCACGAGAGTAACGTCATATGCAAGTAAACATGACTCATGGACAAGAAAAATCTAAATAAATTACTTTAATACGAGTGACTCAGGACTCGAGGTTATTCAGAGATGTGATAATTTATTTCGTAAAATGGAAACTTTCATGGTACGCACACTCGTAGCTGGACGGAAAATTATCAAAATAAAGCTCAATAGAGCTAACAAGCCACCAGTCTCTGGCCCTATATATTTATCAGAACAAAGTAGTCAATATTAGTTTAGGTCAGTTTATCACAGAAATAGCTGATTGGACCCTAACAGGACCTGGGTGGCTTGTCCAGGGCGTTGTGTGCAATGTGATTCTGGCGGGTCAGCGAGCAGTGATGGTCGTAGAACTACCAGTGGCATTAAGTGCCCGGAAAAACTGACCTATTACTCCCTCCCTTACCTAGTTGCTACTACCAGGATAGGCAATTACACAGACACATATCAAAATGCGAATAGCTTTTAAACAGCCAGCAAAATCGAACACGTTGACCATGTAAAATCAACAAAGTGACACGGTCTCTCAGTGTCAGGCAAGTGACACGGTCTCACAGGGTCAGGCAAGTGACACGGTCTCAAAGGGTCAGACAAGTGACACGGTCTCACAGGGTCAGGCAAGAGACACGGTCTCACAGGGTCAGGCAAGTGACACGGTCTCACAGGGTCAGGCAAGTGACACGGTCTCACAGGGTCAGGCAAGTGACACGGTCTCACAGTGTCAGGCAAGTGACACGGTCTCTCAGAGTCAGGCAAGTGACAGTCTCACAGTGACAGTCAAGTCACCTGATAGTCTCCCTGGGGCATAACTTTGCCGCCGCGGATGGTGAAGTGGCAGTCCTGGTTGGGTTTGCCAGCGCGCTCTGAGAAGTCGCAGTAAATGTGGCCGAGAAGCGAGCCGTCTTCCTCCACCACTGTAAACATAAGACATCATTACCATCACTGACCCGTTCAATACAATACGTTACTATCGTATCCATAAACAGGAGACAACAATCAACAACCATTTCCGAGCACACCAACCTGTTGCTTAAATGCAGGTTGGGATGTCCATGATGCTCAAGGCAATGGTTTCAGTGGCATTTTTCAACTTCATGTCCCCTTTCTATCAAGAGTCTCATTTTACTAATTAAAATATTAATAAGATTAGATCATCTGTAATTGAGACGTAATATTCACTAGACGTGGTAAAGATTGATAGAAAAGTACTAAAATTGAATCAGCATTTACATCACGTGACAGATCACGCGATTAAGACCTCAGTAGTGGGCGGAAGCCGTGATTCCATAAAAGGGCTGTGAACCTTAGTAAGGCCCCCAATACCGTCGCCATGTAACATTCGTTAGAGTTTCTCCGACCTAACGGTTGCCGTCTTAACCTATACCTCTATCGTATCCCTCACATATAACCACCCGGTATCAAGATAAGTTCGCTAGACAGATAATGTCTTTCTTATTCCTTAGTCAACGAATCCTGTCCTCAGGTATAAATATATAATCAGTCAGGTGTCTCTTAATATGACCGCCTGACATTAAAACAAATTATATAAGATATTGAATGATTTTTAAGAAGTAGTTAGCACCACGATGGACAAACAAAATGGACACTTTGGACAGTTAAATAAAACATAGGTTTCTAAAAGTAGTTATTTAACGGAGGTTTTGTTGAAGACCAGACCGTAATTCTTACTAAGAACTTTTAAAATTTGTTTACATTGATTTTGCAAATTAGCCTTTTAGTAGGGCTTAATGGTTGAAATACGGGGTTTCTAAGGGGTATTTGGTATAATGATAAGTAGTAGTAGTAGTAGAAAGGTTTGCTAGCGCTTCAGCTTTCAAGCTATTTCGCGCCGGAGGTCAAAATGTAACATCGCCAGAAGGCGAAAGGTCTCAAATTATTCATCACTCAAAAGGGGCGGAAGGTCTCAGTTGTCCAGCCCGCTGAAGCTGGCTCGAGAGAAGCAGCGTTAGCATCTCAAAGAGACGAAGTGACAAGGAGGGACAGGTGAAAAGCAGCAGAAACTAAGACACTCGAACAAGAGGTCGCTTACACGGGACGTCGGCCGCCCGCACGAGAGAGACAGAGAAGGGAAATGTAAGGTATCCTGCCTACATGATAACTTAACCCCACAACTGAGACCTACAGTCAGACACCGCGAGCTTAGCGGTGGGGCACTCAGGAACAATCCCCCTAGGAGCGCGAAATCCCATAAGACTTCTGACGAGCACAGACACACGTCAGAAGTCCCCCCCTGAGGGGGGTATAATGATAAGATATTTCAAATAAACATCACTCATCATCAAGTGAAAGGAAAGTTTTGTCGCACTTTAAATTTCAGGATTTTGGAATGCGATGAGCGGTCACTCTACCAAACATCATCAGAAATAGACTCGATAATATTTATTTCAATTAAGCTTTACTCAAATATAGACTCGATAATATTTATTTCAATTGAGCTTTACTCAAATAATAGACTCGATAATATTTATTTCAATTAAGCTTTACTCAAATATAGACTCAATAATATTTATTTCAAATAAGCATGACTCAAATATAGACTCAATAATATTTATTTCAAACATAAATTTATGATAACATTTATGACTCAATAACATTTATTGCGAGTTAAATGTAAGTTCTATGCTAGTTGTTCGTTTTAAAATGTTTTCCAGTAGTTCATAATACCTTAACATTAAAATAATAACCAGATAACGGGATTCACGCCTCTGAAATTTTATACATAGCACCGTCAGGTTAAATTGCAAGTATATAGTAAACTGGACACAATATCTTAACCTTGTTAGTTGAGTTACGGTATCAATATATAATTGCAAGTATATAGTAAACTGGATACAATATCTGAACCTTGTTAGTTAGTTGAGTTATCAAGTATATAATAGCAAGTATATAGTAAACTGGAGATGATATCTGAACCTTGTTAGTTGAGTTATCAAGTACATAATAGAAATTATATAATAAACTGGACATAATATCTGAACCTTGTTAGTTGAGTTATCAAGTATATAATTGCAAGTAAATAATAAACTGGACACAATATCTGAACCTTGTTAGTTGAGTTATCAAGTATATGATTGCAAGTAAATAATAAACTGGACACAATAGAGGCTAATAGATGACCTAACAAACCTGTGAGCAAATGAAGGGAAGCCACAGAGGTCGGCCATGTCTCGCCGCGCTATAAGCAGACGCGACAACAGCAGCTCTTGCTGGCTGTCAGGCATTTGGTAGACACGATACGCGGCCTCGCGTGCTCCTTCACTTGACGAGTCTGATAGAAGTCCGTTAACTGTGATGCTGGACCCTGAGAGACTAAGACTGTCGGGAGAATTGTTCATGGCAGTGAAGAACACACAACAATGAACATTACATTACATAGGATGATATGCATCTCAATATGCATTATTACAGAAGCCTCAAACCACAAATTCTTGAACAGATCGCAATGCAAACAGTTGAACGCAACCAAAGAATCCCAATTGTTGCACTAGATGTCAAATACTCAACAGGAATGAAATATTTTTAACAATGAGTCTGATTTTCAATATTATTTCACTTGAGCGTGTATGAGTTAGTTTAGTTACATTACATGTTAAGTTATCTGTACAAACCATTTGCAATACTGACTAGTTTTGCAGTTCTAGAGGTAATTGTGAACGTTCAACTTTTCTCGGTTTGTGGCAGTTGGCCATAAAATGCTGTCCCACAGCCAGGATATATTCATTCAGCTCAAATACTTTTTGGCGCTTACTGTCTTCCAAGTGGATACCTGAAAGTCAAAATTACAAAATTCACTTTATTTAGTTTGCTTTAACTATATATTCAATGATGGCTAATAGTATAGAGAATTTGTAACAATGAATCATATTTACATCACATGAAATCAATTGAACTTGTTTATCTACAAAATTTAAATCAAAGGTCTCAGAAAATGAGAATTTATAATATATTTTGACAATAAAAATTTATTTACTTATAAATCAAAACAATGAGAGGTTCAGAGCCTTTAACGAGGCCGAGTAAAATTAAAGTTAAGAATATTTAAGCAAATGTGAAAAGGTAGTGATTTTCACACAACATGATCCCCACCTCATTCATCTCAGAGACTCACCACTTTGTTCAAAATCAAAAAGAAAAAGTCGTGCAACATGTTCATCAACTGGAGTAGTGGGTACTACATCTCCATCTTCAACAACCTTACGTAAGGCGTCATACAGCTTTCGGTTGACATTCAATCTGAAAATAAACACAAAATTCTAATGATAGTGAATGAAATGGTGGCCATAGGTACTAGTAGTTTAGAAGCTGTTAGCCTGATGCAAAATTAACTAACTATTCACCAGCAAACATGGGGAAGGCCAGCATGCTTCAGCCAGCAGGTAAATATGGTGTAGGTAAATATAAACGACCCAGAAGCCATAAAATCAAGGTGACATTTCACAATTTTCCCCATGTTGATGCCAGTTGTTGCTCATCATTATCTTGAAAAAAATTTCAACATTAATCCATACCAAGTACACATGTATAATTAGCATTAGAAGTCAAAGAACATAAGATGAATTAAATGTACATATAGGTATATCTAGTCTAATGTAATACTTGTACAACACATCCAGCAATGTACCCAAAATAACTGACGATATTGTACTCAATACAATCATTTCCACCCAGTATTTTTCTTCACTCAATTTCAACCCAAGTATTTCACTCCTAAAGGAAATGAAATAATTTAGTAGCAACGTGTTCCCCCAAAATATAATAAAGTACATCAATATAGGCCAACAGAATTAATTGAACAATATTACTAATTCTCTACACATCAATGCATCTGTATAACAAGTTATGAGCAAGCTAAACCTACTTCTCAACTAAAGTTCCAATAGAAAAAGCAGCATCATGAGCAGGGCATAGGTAGTGAGAGTCTGGATGAGCCAGTTGATGCATCTATATAAAAAGTTATGAGTGAGCAGAACTCACTTCTCAACTAAAGCTCCAATAGAAAAGGCAGCATCTTGAGCAGCACATTGGTAGTGAGAGTCTGGATGAGCCAGGCGCACAAATTCTGCCAGATCCGCCACACAGCAGAGGACGTTGCTTAGTTCATCAAACACCTGGAATAACTCTCTTCTGTTATTATGCTCATTGAATATATATATATACTAATCATTGAGATAAAGAAGAATTCATTATTTAATCTTTCGAAGAACATGAAATGTGCTATAATTTCAAAAATAATTCCCACAGAACTGAAAATTGAACACTTTTTTCAACACATCACTTTGTATTTGTGACTAGAAACACCTGACATTAACTTTGAGACATGTAGAAGTAAACTTTCACAAGCTGTGATGTTGTGTTCAAATATCATAACTTTCTATGATGATTTTCATTTAATCTAAGAACTGCATAAAAATGAGAGATGCAAATTCCACTTCATTGCCAGGAAGCTAAAAAATTGAAAATCCCGGGGATGCTGATTCTATTTTAAACTAATATATTACTTGAGGGATCATACATAATTTCTATAAGGCAAACTAAGACCTCTGAGTTTATATAACAAAATCAATTTTAAGGCCAAGATACATAAAAAAAAATTTAGATTTAATTTTGAAGTAGTACTGTATAGGTAGTGTTATAAGCAGTCCTTTTAGTCAAATCATTTGATTTTGTATAGGATAAAAGAATAGTATATATGAAAAAAACTATTTGACTGTTGACTGCACTATAGTAATCATTACAGTGACAGTTACTGATTATTCCACAAAGGGCATTGCTACCTCCATGATGTAAATGAACGCAGAAAAACCACAAATTTTGGTGACAGGGCCAATATTTTTCAATACCTACCTAATTCTTGTCTAAATTCACATGCTTGCTGGAGGGTGACATTACACATGAGAGATAGTTACTGTTGATAGCCATAGATGTAATAGCATAGACTTAAAATAAGTCTGAGGACACAGGTTTGTTTTTTTCAAACTAACATACATGTCTGATCACTTGCACAATGAAAAGTTGATAACTCGAGGACACATGAGGATTATAAGAGAAACATAAATAAACAGAGTGATCACAAGTTGAATGAACAGAAAATAGCTCGACAGCCTAGAAAAGATTGGCATCAAATGTTACAATTAGTTGCATCATTGGAGCCAGAAATAGCCTTGCAGCCAAAAGGTTTGGTGAGGAATATATTCTTGGTATATAGCACTTCCAGACATTTCAAATGTAGAGAATATAAGCACCTCCACCATTTTCCTTTTTCTCTCTGGAGAGCAGCCCTCTTCCACAAGGTCTTCAGCCTCAAAAGTAGCATTCTGTTTCATAAGATGAAATCCTTGGTAGGATCGCAGAATTGCTAATCCAAACAAGCCCTGGGAGAAAAAACCCACATGAAGAATATCCATAATATATATAATTATATTATACATGTACACTCTGCAGACTAGATTTCCCAAGCATTCAATAGCCAATATGTGCTATGCCAAATGACTTGGGTAGCATGTAATGACAAGAATCAAGAATGTATATAAATATATATCATAGAATATTGCAGTGATGAATAAATGAACAGGTTAACTTGAATAATAATAATAAAAAAATTAATAATAATAATAATAATGAATAACTTGGAGTTTGACATGTGCTAAAAAGTACTGGAATTTTATAAAATGAATTTGAATATATTTCAATTATATTTCATGCTTGCATTATATGAAGGTGAAATAAAATTAAATAATTCCAGCTGATTGTACTTACCACAGAATCTCTTGTAATAGAAAAATTTACAAAAACATTAGGTTTTGAGTTGAATACAGAAGTCAGAGGTGAAAGAGTATTGACTTCCCTTTTGGAGGTGGCTCTTACATTGCAGGGAAATAATTTTATAAGTCTATTTAGTAAGAAATAATGCCTTGAAAATATATATGGCTTGGTAGCATGCCAACTGCTCATGCACACTTGAGAGCTGGACAATAATCTTCTCATTCTGATGTTGGCAAGAACTCCATGCAAAACTTTACCTAGTAGTGAATACTGAAAGCAGGGGAGAAACAATTATGTTATCACCAACTTGTAAGCAAGAGTTTAAATTTCAAGAAAAACAAAATTTTAGCATTAGAGAGACAGATATATATTCGCGGAATTGCTGATTCTCTGTAAATGTAATCAGCAGCCACCGATAGTGTGGAATCAGCATTTTATTGCTGATTCAGAAAATTGGATGCGAGTTAGAGTTAGAACACAAATTTACAGAGTTAGAAAAGGTTAAGTCAAGTTTCTTCATATTTAAATATTTGAAAAAAATCTTGGCTGACTAACCTAACCACCAGCTTTTTTTAGTATAGAAATTAGAAATGCTGATTCTACAGAATCGGCAAACTGGCTGCCAATTCCATAGAATTGGCAATGCCACAATTTTAGCATGACATACCATCAACCGGGGCTACTCGGGACGGGCGGGGTAACTCGGGACAGTCCCCCGACATGGCATAAAACTGTTTTTTAGTAGCAAAACTAATTGGAATATCGCAAAACTAAATATAGTACTGTAAACATCAACATTTTTCCTATCTATGTAGTATAAAGGAAGTTCAAAAATACTACATTTACTAGCTTTGAAAAATTCCTGAAAAAATGGTGAAGAACTATATTTTGAAAAGTTACTTCTGCTAAGGTCTGTAGTAAAAAAAATATTTGCCATATTAAAAAATTTTGCTTAGAAAAAATTGGCAGACAAGTGTCAGCATGAAAATTGTATTTGCGGAATTTACATACCTCAATAAAAAAAAATGGTGGCCATTTCCGCACAGCAGGGCTAATCGAGACACCCCATAAAACCCGTTCACAGCATAACCTTGGTTAGCAAAGGCTCCAGTAAATAAGAATTCTCATTTCATAGCCATAATTGTGCACCGGGCAACATAGAATGAAAAATATTACCTAAACTATGATCTATTTCTCCAAAAATATGATGCTTGTCTCTGAATTATCCCTTTATTTTTCAGGCTTTTTATGATCTTTTTCTCTTACAGAAAATTCAGTTGAGCCTATTAAAATGATGAGACATTATAAGCCCACAGGCAAACTCGTACAAAGGAAATCCTATACAACTGCTGATATCAAGCTGGCAGTAGACAGTGTCATTGTTGATGATGAGATGCAGCGTAAATGCATAATGTGCCTCGAAATACGCTGCATAGATATGCCAGACAATGCAGGACATCTCTAAGACATCGCAGGACAAGGACATCTCTAAAGTCATCGTTAATGAAGATGATTTTAGCCTTGTTTGGTTTGAGTTAGATGGAAGGGTACAACGTGAGAAATTTCATGTTGCACGTGTGAGAGAACAACCACAAGACGACTGCAATGTCATGGTTGAATTCCTAAAGAAGAGCAGTGATACAAAAAAGCTATCATTTCTCTACCCTGTTCAGCATGACATGGCTGCTGTTGAACGAAAGAACATCAGGCTCAAACTAACCCTAATCAGCACAAACCGAGGGAAGCACGTTTTTACTAAGATGCTTAGCAGGTTGGCTGATACTGGTAGCCTTGGTTAGGTGTACTCCATAAAAACATGTAGGCACCAGCACAGTTTACTTTCAAGTTGTTAAGTCAAGTGCAAACATTACTGTATGAAAAGGAAGTTTTTCTATTTGTTTTGAAATTTTTCGTTACAAAATGGAAAAATAATTTTTGTTAGTGAAAAATGGATTTATATGTATAGAAATAGAGGAAAATTGGGAACAAATTACAGAAAACATCTTTTATTTTACATTTTCATCATCAACAAATGAAGAAGAGGACTTCAGAGTACTTTTTGTAATGGGTGAGTACATTCTGCATGCTTTAAAAGTTCTAAAATGAAGTTTTATTCCAAGTGTCCCAAGTAGCCCCATTCGACAGGGCTACTTGGGACACTCTTTTTTTGCTTCTGGCACCTTACGAATAGCATATGGATTTTTTTGGAGAAGCCATGTGATAGTCCTTGCAAAGAGCTTTGAAATGAGCCTAAACTTGTTGATGAAATGTTTCATGGTAAGAAGTTATGAATGAAAAACGTTTGAAATTGTCCCGAGTAGCCCCAGTTGATGGTACCTATAGCTAGTCTCTACAAGTTTAAACAAAACATCACAAAATCATGGTTCCATATACATGGGATATGGATTAGAAAATTGCATTTTAAAGGGTTGCCTGTTACTGTCAGAGACCCAGTCTATAGAGTATGGCACAACATAGGTCGAGAACGCTGTTTTTCTGCCCTAAAGACGCCAAGGCACCATCTAAACGGACAGTGGACACCGATGTTTGCAGCAGACGGCAATGATGCCAAAATTGATTGCCCATGGTCTGGAAGGTATTGCATGGGCCCCGGAAGTTCACCATGTACACCACCAGTATGCCAAGGAAGAAAATTGCCAGTATGTTTGCTAGAAAAACAAAAGTGCATTGCTGACTGATGCCTGATAATTGCGTGCATTTGCACAATCAATGCGGCTGTTGCACGATGATTGACATAGATGCCGTGCTTCACAATCAATGATCGACATAGATGCCCGTACCTTACAGTCAATGACCAATATGGATGCCACATTTCATGATCAACGTGGCCAACGCTCACGGTTTGCACAAATGATGCGGCATGATTAAAATGGATGCACGCATTTTACGATCGATGTGGCCAATGCCCAATGATCAATACTGTAGCTTGCGCTTCGCAATGAATATGGCATGATCAACACGGATGCACACATTTTACGATCAATGTGGCAGATGCACCATGATCGATTCCAACATTCACGATTTGCAAACAATGCGGCAAGATTGACATGGATGCAAGCCTTCTACGATCGATGTGGCTGATGACCAATGATCAATTCCGACGCTCACAATTTGCAAACAATGCAGCATGATTGACATGAATGCAAGGATTCTACAATCAATGTGGCCGATGCCCAATGATCAATTCAGATGCTCACGATTCGCGAATGATGCAGCATGATTGACATGAATGCAAGCATTCTACAATCGATGTGGCCAATGCCCAATGATCGATTCCGATGCTCGCGCTTCACAAACAATGCGGCATGATTGACATGGATGCACTTATTTTGCAATCAATGTGGCCAATGCGGGATGCCCCATAATCTATTCCGATGTTCGCGATCAATGCGGCATGATTGACATGGATGCACGCATTTTAAGATCAATGTGACTGATGCCCCATGATCGATTCCAACATTCATGATTCACGATAGATGCGGCATGATTGACATGGATGCACGCATATTATTATCAATGTGGCTGATGCCTCACGATCGATTCCGACATTCACGATTCGCAAACGATGTGCATGATTGACATGAATGCAAGCATTCAACGATCAATGTGACCAATGCCCAATGAGGAGACGCTTCGTGCGTCACTGTAACGCAGTGGTTATAAGGCCGCTGTATGCGCAGTGACGACGGTAGAGCGGCACCGAGATGGAGGAGCTAGGCGTGGGTTCGAGCCCCGGGAAGTTCAGTTAAAGTCTTGGTGTCGCTAGTGGACGGCGCATAGTCGCCGTCAAAAGGTGGTGCTTTCAGCATGGCCTTGGGTGTGTGTCCCTAAACACTCTGGGTATGTTACCTGGGGGATCTTAAGGTCTTAAGGTGACGAAGCTTGTGCTTCACGAACAATGCGGCATGATCAACATGGATGCATGTATTTTATGATCAATGTGGCTGATGCCCCATGACCAATTCCAACGTTCACGATTTGCGATTGATGCGGCATGATTGACATGGATGCACACATTTTACGATTGATGTGGCTGATGCCTCACGATCGATTCTGATGTTCATGATTCGCGAACAATGTGCATGATTGACATGAATGCAAGCTTTCAATGATCGACGTGACCGATGCCCAATTATTGATTCTGACACTTGCACTTCACGATCAATGCAGCCAATGCCCGATGATCAACACTTACACACCGACTTTACGACCAATGAAGTCAATGCTTACCTTACCTTATGACCTTATGATGAGTTCGGGAATACCTAGTCCCCGGTCACGCTGATGCGCTGCCTTCGTCGTCCTCCGTCTCCGAGTCGTCAGATGTAACGTTGGATCAATTCCAACGCTCGCGCTTTACGGTCGATGTAACCAATCCCTGATGATAAACACTGACACGCACATTACGATCAATGTGGCATAAAACAACATAAGAACACAACACATAACGCAATACTACACATTATAACATAACAAAATATATTGTAACAAAACGTAACATCACATGTTATAACACAACATAACATTAAAGAACACATTGTTACCACATTACATAACACATCATAATGTAACACAACATATCATAACAGAACACATTGTAACAGATCATAACATGATATAAAAAATTGTAACACAACATAAGGTAAGATACAGGACATCATAACAACACATTTTAACACAACATAACACAGCACAGAAAATAACATAACAGAACATAAAATAACATAACAGATTATGCTGTGTTTATATTAGGATTTGTTATAAGTGTAGTGATGTGTTATGTAATACTGTGCCATGATATATGTAATGTGTGATATTTTTTTTCTTATGTTGTGTAGTGTAATAATGAGTTCTGTAGTGACATGTATTATAATGGTTTATGTTTTGTTTTATGTGTTGTCTTATGTTATGATGTGTTGTGTTATTATGTATCCTGTTATATTGTGTTGTGTTATGTGTCCTGTTTTATTACCATAGCTGGGCAGCGCTACTTGGAAATGTAGCGGCGCTACCGCTACCGCTACATGCTCTACATGTAGCGGGCACTACCGCTACACCCACTAGATTGTAACGGGCGCTACCGCTACAGTAAGATGTAGCGCGCTACATTAGCCGCTACAATTAATGGCCAAAATTATTGGAAATCTCTAAATATTTATTGTTCTGCTATTGGGATTTACTCATTAACATTTAATGATAATAAAACATTTTTAAAACATATCAATGCAACTTTATTGCAATTAACCTAACCGAAGTAGTATGGGTTACCCCAGGGTTAGATACAGTAAATAAAAGTTACAGTTATTTTTATGTTTTACCTTCCCTACATGGATGTGAACTTTAATCTACCAATCTAAGGAATTATCCACATATACATATAAAAATCAGTCTTTTTTTGTATATAT